ACCGCAGCACTCCCCGCCCTCCACCGTCACCTGCAAACACACCCACGCACACGCACGCGCGCGATCGCGCGCCGTCACGCGCCGCCGCCCCGCACCGCGCCCGCGCCACACACGCTCGCCGCCGCCGCAAGCCGCGCCCACGCACCCACGCGCCCGCGCCCGTCGCCACGCACACCCACTGCACATGCACGCACCTTCGCCCCCTCCTGTGCCGCGACGCCGTAGAGCTGCTTGTTGTCGGTGCACTTCGTCCCGCGCACTGTCGCCTCCGTCCCGCTGCCGGCCGCACCCACGCCGCACTGCCCGTTACCGCAGCACTCCCCGCCCTCCACCGTCACCTGCACACACACCCGCGCACACGCACGCGCGGTCGCGCGCCGTCACGCGCCGACGCCCATCGCAGCGCGCCCGCGCCGCACTCGCACGCGCGCCCACGCGCCCCCGCCCACCGCAGCGCACACCCATCGCACGTGCACGCACCTTCGCCCCCTCCGCTGCCAAGACGCCGTGGTACTCCTTGTTGTCGCTGCACTTCGTCCCGCGCACTGTCGCCTCCGTCCCGCTGCCGCCCGCAGCCACGCCGCAGTCGCCGTTCCCGCAGCACTCCCCGCCCTCCACCGTCACCTGCACACACACCCGCGCACACGCACGCGCGGTCGCGCGCCGTCACGCGCCGCCGCCCCAGAGCGCGCCCGCGCCGCACACCCAAGCCGCCGACCCGCAGCGCGCCCACGCGCCCGCGCCCATCGCAACGCACACCCACTGCACATGCACGCACCTTCGCCCCCTCCTGTGCCGCGACGCCGTGGCCTGTGTTGTCGGTGCACTTCGTGTCGCGCACTGTCGCCTCCGTCCCGCTGCCGCCCGCACCCACGCCGCCGTAGCCGTTACCGCAGCACTCCCCGCCCTCCACCGTCACCTGCACACACACCCGCGCACGCGCACGCGCGGTCGCGCCACACACACACACTCACTCACGCCGCCGCCGCACGCACCCACCGCAACGCACACCCACTGCACATGCACGCACCTTCGCCCCCTCTGTTGCCTCGACGCCTTGGCCCTGCTTGTTGGCGCTGCACTTCGCCCCGCGCACGGTCGCCTCCGTCCCGCTGCCGCTCGCCCACACACCGCGCCACCCGTTGCCGCAGCACTCCCCGCCCTCCACCGTCACCTGCATTCCCGATCCCAGAACTTCTTTCACTGCGTCCAGCACACCCCCTCGCTCACGTACAATGCATGCACCGAGTCGCCTGCACCTGTGCTCCGTCGACCACGCTCAGACCATTGTTCGCGTTGCCGTTGAGCTTGCATGCCTTGATGACGACTCCTCTCGCGGCCTCAATCTGCACTGCTGCCAGCTTTTTACGATCAGGTTCCGAGGACGAATCACCACCTGCAGTCAGCGCAACGAATGAACCTTGTCACTTGCCCGAGCATGCAAATGGGCCTCGTCTCCCGGTCTGCATCCGCTGGCGAGAGAAAGCTGTGTCAGGAAGAGAGCCTGGAATTGACCTCCCTGACGTCCGACGACAGCGAACCGTTGGTCGGAATCGCTTTGCGACCGAGCTGCTCAAGCGTTGCACAGAAGCGGGCGCGATCTCACGGTCGTACTCGTATCCGCTGACGGAGATGCGTTCCAAGCGGGTGCCCGTCGCTGACGACTTGAACAGCAGGCGCAGGCCACGCAGATTGCCGTTCCGCAGCGTCACGCCCGGGCGCGTCACTTCGACGGTGTCCTCGCCGCTTCCCTGCACACTGCGCCCATGCAGGTCAATCACCTGCGGGTCAATCACCGACAACGAGGAACCCTGGTCAGCGGTGGCGCGGGCTGCCTCGAGTACCAGCGCCCGCATCTCCGGGGAGGGCGGATGATTTGCAGCGTGACATGCATCTTGCAACAATGCGCACCGCGTCGTTCCCGTCGTTGAGTGCTGCACGGAGGCCCTCCACGGTGCAGAGCCGACGCAGACGCGCCTCTCGCTCTTCAATGGTTCGTGTCCTCTCCGCCGCTGCCAGCCCCGTCACTTTCTCGTAGATGTCTTTCATCGACGGCCTCTCCGCGGGCTCCTTCAACAAACACTTGCAGATCAAATCACGAAGCTCGGCTGGCGCGACGTCAGCCGGCACCTCCGGACCGCGGGCTTGCGCCAGGCGCATCATGATCTGCTGATCCGACAGGTTGCCGTATGGGTTCTCCCCCGTGGCGGCGTGCAGCAGGGTGCACCCGAAGGACCACACGTCGGCGGCCTCGGACCTGCCTTTGAAGTCCTCCATGCACGACTCCGGGGCACAGTACTGGAAGGTCCCGCCGCGCAGCGTTCTTGTCTGCGCACACTTCGTCGTCAGCGTTCTCGCCAGTCCGAAGTCGCACAACGCCGCCCGGCCACTGGCGTCAATCAGCACGTTCGATGGCTTGATGTCGTTGTGGTACATGCGCCGGCGATGCATCTGCATCAGGGCGCGGCTGATGTCGTGCGCCACCCTCAGGATCGCGTCGCACTCCAGTGGCGCGGGGCTGCAATCGCGGATCAGCCCCATCAACGAGTTGTCGTACAACTCCATGATCAGCAGCCAGTCAAACCCGTCTTCAACGTAGCCGATGAGCCGGCACACATTGTCGCACTGAGCAGCAACCTTCAGCGCCATCTCGATCTCGGTGATCACGCTCGTGCGGGCCGCTGTGCCCAACTCCATCACCGACATGCGTTTCACCGCCACGGCTTCGGTCCCCTCCTGCCTGTCGCCCTGCTTGAGCTCCCCGCGGAACACCTCGCCGAAGCCGCCGCGCGCTATCTTCTCCTTGAGCACCACGCGAGCGCGGGGGTACTCGCGCAGCGTCAGCGATGCAAGCCGACTGTTAGCAGCTGGCGCGGTGACCGCGATGGCGCTCTTCAGCGCCCAGTTCTCGACGTACCGCAGCGGCGTCTGAAGCCTCGCCCGCGTGATCGGGTCTGTTGCCACCCCGTTGTCAGCCACCCTGCTGCGCACCCACTCTTCGATGCACGCCCGGCAGTACGTCTGGCCGCTGTCCAGCAGGACGACCGGGTCGTTCATGACCTCCAGACAGATGCCGCACTCGAACTCCACCGGCACCGACGGCGCAGCGGTCGCCACGCTCGGCTGCGCGACGGCACTCTGCTCCTCGCGCGTTTTCAGAACCTCCTCCAGTTTCTCCGTCAGCTGCCGAATGCGCTCGAGGTGCTCCTCGCGCTCCGCGACGTGTCGGCTCTCGAGGTCCTGCGCGCGGGCCGCCGCCGTGTCGCGCTCCGCCTCCAGGCGCTGCAGGTCCGCGCGCAGCTCCTCCAGAGCTGCGTGGTCGTCCTCGGTGCGGCCGCCGAGGAACGCGCCGCCCCGGACGATCTGCTCGAGCATGTCGCGCATGGCCGCGTCCATCATACCGGGCAGCCGTTCGAACTGCGCGTTCATGTCGTCTCGCAGGTCGGTCAGGATTTCTTCGAGCCTCTCGCTGTCATTGTGGAGAGCCGTGCCGATGCTCTCCACCTCCTGGACCGTCTCGGTGGCCAGCTGCACGCACCGCCGGGGCCGCGCTGCTCGTCAGCGAGTGCACGGCGATGTCGTTTTTCGCGCGGGAACGGCACTGCGACTCTTGGCAAGCGGAGACGCACCCCGATGTTTGCGGAGCTGTTGGCGGCTCCCACGGCGATGAGGACGTCCGAGATTCGCGACGTGAGCTCCTTGATACGTCTCTTCGCTGCCCGGCTGGAAATACAAGCCATGATCCGCCCGTTCTGTCTCTGCCGCGCGACGACCTTCTCCAGGCCCTCCAACTGGGGCACCAAGTCCCCAATGCAGGCGTCGAGGGCCGCCGGGTCGCGCAGGCGCCCTTGAGCGTCCGCCATGCGCTGTAGCACGGCATGGGTCCGCTTGACGTGGCCTTCCAGCCACGGAATCGCCTCCTGCGTAGGGGCACCGCACGCCTTTGTTGGTGGATAAGCACCCGCAAGATGACGCGATGGGCACAATGCGGCACCAACAGCATACTCCTGCGCACCTTGATCTCCCGTGAATCCCGGACATGCCCCCAGATCAAGGACGCAGCTTGCAACGCAGCTGCGAGCGTCGCGTCAAGCATGATGCGTGCCACTCGGTCTAATTCGTGTCGGCACGGCCTTCCATCAGCCTCGTACGCCACCGCGGGACAATGATCGCGACAGAGACACTCTGCTTTTGCCTCCCGCGCGTCTGTTTGCGCCCTGTCATGATGCTGCGCCCCGCATCGGCGGGGGTGTCCGACCGGCCACCCCGCGAACAGTCTGTCGCCACAAATCCCTGCGCTCGCGGTCCGTCCAGCGCAGGTCTCGCGGCGCCCCGGCGCCAGCCCGCAGAGTACCTCCGCGGCGACCCGTCACGCCGGCGAGCGCCGCGGATTCCGCTGCTGTTTCGGGCAGCAACCTCTTGGAACACAGAGTTTGTCCGTCAGAGTGAACATGGAGCACAGATGGCAAGGCCGCGCTGCGCTCCTGACGCAACGCCGCACCTGCGCGACCCTGGCATCGGGATTTCATCTCACGTCGTCCCCTGCGGTGCTGACTCGGGACCTGCGTGCGCTTGCACCGACGCACCGCGCTACACCGTCCAGCGACGGACGCCGATGCTGGCAACCCGCGCTCGTCGCACCCTCGTGAGCCCGTGAACGCGCAGTCGCGCGCGCGCGCTTTCCCGGCGCAACAAGCACGTTCAACACCCCCCCCCCCGGGCTTGCGACACGACGTAGCGCACCACCGTCCGCGGCTCGCCGGTCCGAGCGTCTGTGGCGAAAGACGCAGGAAAGCGCGAGCACCCACCGTCGCTGCACAGTGCCCCGCAGGACGTCGTGCGCTCCACCGCGGCACCACCGATGCCGGCCCGCGACCTCCTCGTCGCCCACCCACCGTCCGCCCCACCGCAGGCGCGCTCGCCGTCGACCGCGGCCCCCGTGCCCTCCCCCCCGCCCCCGCGCCACCAGTCAGTCATACACAATCACACCCCCCCACCTCCTACCGCTTCTTCGCGAGCGTCCGCTGCTTGGTGGCCCGCTCCACGACCTTGTCGTCCACGGGCAGCCCCTTGCGCCGCCGCACCCGGTTGACAATGTCCCTCGCCAGCGTCAATCGCTCCGCCTCATCCTCTTCCTCTTCCTGCGTCTCTACTGGCTCGAGCGACGCGAACGGATCCCCGCGGACGCGCTCCCAGTGCGAGAAGATCAGCTGCGCGTGCGCCGCGCCGGACGACCGCCGCCGCATCTCGTCCGCGAACCCGAAGGAGGCGTCGATGGGCAGGAGCGCGCGCAACGAGAAGAGGTTCGTGCCCTCGCGGGCCTCCTCGTGGATGATGCGCGCGCGCCTGCGGCCGAGGAGGGCGTACACGCCGGACAGGGCCTCCGCGGACGTCGTCACCTGCGGAGAGGCGTGCAGCAGGAGCATGGTGTGGTGCACGGTAAACGGCAGTCCACGCGACGCGACGTAGCCACGCTGCAGCCGCGCGAGCCGTAAAACACGTGCTCGTCATCGTGCGGTTATGTATTTCCCTCCTAGCGACTCCGCGAAAACTCAATTATAGAAACGTAGTTGATTGCAGCGCTCCTATTTGTTCGCACCTCGCACATGTACATCGCCTCGGCGATCCGCGGCTGCGCCTCGAGCACGGCCTTCCTGCAGCAGTCCGCCACCGTGGAAATGATCTCCCCGGACAGCGTCGCCGCCTTGGCCTGTAACTCCCCCAGGTCCCCGTGCAATAACACCTCCACCTCGAACGCGACTCCCCACATCGGCTCGTCGCAGATCGGCCCGGCCTCCGACGCGAGGTGGAAGCCCGCGACCAGGGCGCTCTCGACCGTCACGCGCAGGTGGTCCCCGCCGGCCGCCTCGCCGTCGCCGTCGCCGTCGCCGCTTTCTACGCCCTCGCGCAGCCCCAGGAGCGCCGACACGCGCGCGTTGTCGAGCTGGAACGCCGTCGTGTGCGCCTCGTCGCTGTGCGCTGCTGCAGGCGGGAGCGCGCCCTTGCCGCGTGGCCGCGTGAGGAGCATGCAGGCTCCTGCGTTTTTTCGGCCAATGGCAAACACCCGTTCGAGCATTTGCGCGCAGCCGGAATCGCTCGCCTGCCGCGCCGCGGCGAGGATCTTGCCACGGAGCGCGTCGGCGTCGACGCGCGCGGCGGGGTCGGGGTCGGAGTCTGCGGCGGCCGAGAGACTGTCTTTCAGGTCTGCGGGCGGCGCGGTGTTTGTATTTGGCTCCGCGGGCGCGTCCTGCGTCGGGAGCGCGGCGTTGCCGGCGCGCAGGGCCGCTGCGCTGAGGGACTGGAGCTCGGCGGAGTTGGCGTCGAGGGCGTTGGCGAGACACCCCGGGAGGGGGTGGACTGTTGCGCGCACCGTCAGACGCTTGCTGCTGGGCTGCATGCTGACGGTGCGGCGGTCCGCGGGGGCCGCGGGCTCGTCGGCGCCGTCCGCGAGGGACTCGCGGAACGACACCAGCGGCGGCGAGACCTGCGGAGAAAAAGCGAAACAACATATAGGGAAATCATATCTTGCGTGCGTACATCTCGCAACGCACGGCCGCGACGGACCCGTGGTTCCGCACAGGCGTTGCTGGTGACGGACGCAAGTGACGGGCGGTATTTAGAGTGCTCGTGTTCGTGTCAGACAGCGGGGGAGGACGCACGTGCACGCGCACTCCCGCGAACCGTTTCACGAGGTCGTCCATGCACGTCTGCAGGTGCACTTCGCCCGCGGCGCCGACGACGTTCTCCCCGGAATCCATCATGTACACCTCGACGAACGGGTCGGCCCTGCGCGGCGTCGGGCACCACACAAAGCTCAACGCACAGTCATACTGGAACAAAACAACCCCCCCCGCCTGCAGCAGGTCCAGCGCCGTCGCGAGGCGTGGCGGGGCGTACCGGACGAGAAGCCGGAGGCCCTCGACGAGGCGCGGCATGTCGGAGGGGACCACGGGCTCCACCGCCACGCGCACCAGCGCCGACGTCTGATACGACATTCCGCGGAACGGCCAGCAGCGCGGGGTGCTCGCGATGGTCGCGCTCTTGAGGATCTGCAGCGCGGATATGATGAGCGGATCATATCGAGGATCAACCGTGACGTCCGTTGCCGTGCGGATATAAAAGTATAATATAGAATATGTTCTTCTTCTTCTTGGTGGCCAGATGCGCGCAGGGCGGGGCAGCACGCCGCGCACCTCCAGGGACAGTCCGCCGAGCGCGACCACGCTCCCTGCGCTCGCGCAGTTCGTGCGTTCTAGCGCCGGGCCCATCATAATGAAAACACCATCAATGGTTGCACGTGTGCACCGAAAGGACGACTCCGCCGCCGGGTCGTGCACAGGCGAGAGGACGAAGATGTCGCTCTGGTCCCTGAGGACCCCCGAGAAGATCCGTGTGAAGGCGAGGAACGCCATTTGGTTGGCAGAGGTGCTGAGACCCCCCGGGAGGAGTGATGCAGGCACCGCGATCATCTTCGCGACGAACGCGACGACGGGCGCGTCCTCGGAGGCGTCGGCCGTCAGGAGCGCCTGCCGGACAGGCGCCAGCTCCGTGGGCTCCGCCGCCTGCGTGTTTCCTGCACGATGCCGGCAACCACGAAATACCGAGTTCCGATGAGCCGCAACGCACCCGACTGCCGTCAGTGCGGTCCCCCGATACTCAACACGCAGGGACGCCGTGCGCGGCAACACTCCCCCCATCCGGCGGGGCCATGACGGACCTGACGCTGTCATACCACTTCCAACCCCCGGGACGAGTTTCGGGATCCGGTGCGCGGCGGCGGCCGAGGGCGCGGGCACGTGCTCCACGGCCGTGCTCAGCACGGCCTTCGCGAGGGGCAGCCAGGCGCGCAAGAACGACCGCAGCGCGTTGCGCGGGTCGGGGTGCTGCAACGCTTGCGGCGCGACGGTGATGCCGAGGGCGGCGCTGAGCTTCGCGAGCTTGGGGCCGTGGTCGCCGGACGAGTCCCTGCACGCGGCGTACACGGTCCACAGCGGCTCCAGGACGAACTGCGCGAACACTGGCTTCAACTTGGTTGTAACACCCCCCCCCTGCGACGACGCGAGCGGCGCACGAGCACGGAGTGAGTCCGCGCAGCGGGCAACGCGTGGGATGTACGATGTGGAGGCGGGGGGGTGCGCGCGGCACCGCGCAGGCGAGGAGGGGTGTTGCGCTGACGCGGTGGGGGGTGTCGAGGCTCGACGGGGGGAGTGGGGCGTTGCCGGTGCCGGCGCGATACCGCAGCGAATCTGCCGATCACGTGCGTAAACGCGCCGCTCGCACCAGAGAGCCAGCGTGTTACGAACACCCAATCGATGCCGCACTGATTGCTGCCATTGTTTTTTTTACCCCACGGGGGTCTCACCTGGGTCTTCTTGTCGGAGTCGAACGGCACGAACTGTTTCGTCTTCGCCTGGAACGCCCAGTCGCCCCAAATCGCACTCCGCACATCCGCGGCGCTGCACTTGAGCTTTTTAGTCCACATACCCACAAAGTGCTCCACCTGGAACGCCCAGCCGTCGAACGCGCTCGCGAAGACGACGTTGCCCTTGGCCGGACAGAACACGTCCTCGACGTCGTCGTCGTCCACCTGCGGCGCCTCCCCGTTGTACTCCTGCGCGAGACAGCACGTCAACACGACAGTTGGGCAGAAGACGTCAGGGCCCGGCCGGGACGTGTCGGCGCGTGGCAGCTGCGCGCGCGGGGAGTGCTTGAAAGGGACGTGTACTCGAAAGGAGTGCGCGTGCGACGGACCTCGTCGTCGCCCGCAGCTTCGGCGGCGTCGTCCGTTTGCTGGAGGTACGTCTCGCTGTGCAGGAGGCTGTGAATGCGGTTGCATTCGCCGATGATGGATCGTATTCGCTCGTAGGCCTCCTCGGGCGACAGGTAGAGCTCCAGCGCGAGTCGGTCGACCTTGTTGACTACCAGGCACGGCTGCAGACACTCCTCGAACGCCTGACGCAGGACCTGCAACGAGCAGCGCGGTTGAAAAAAATCGAAATTGAACGTCAGGCTCGCGACCGGTGCGGAACGGAATGGTTCGGGGCCGGGTTTTCGACGAAAACGAGCAACAGAAGCGACTACGTGAGTGGTTGAGACCGCTGCGCGTGTGAGCGTGCGTGGGCGATGCACGCCGGGTCCGAGAAGGGCGGGCCGCCGCACCGCGTGCGTCTGGACGCAGACGCCCTCGACGGCGTCCACGACGATGAGCGCGCCGTCACTGAGCCGCACAGCCGTGGAAATCTCGCTGCAGAAGTCGACGTGGCCGGGCACGTCGATCACGTTGACGAGGTACTCCTTCGCCGCCTCCTGCGCCGACGCGGCCTCCTCGGGAGCCTGCGTCGCGAGACAAACACCTTTCATGTATTTATTATACAACAGATCCCAATTGTGGGGGATTCCAGCAGTGATAGTCTCGTCCCAGTGCGCGATATTCAGGCCGAGATGCACGACGGAAAATCCCGCAAGCGGTGTGCGCCGTGCGGCGACAGACACGGCGGGCGGCGCTGCTCACCTGGCGAGCGGTGTGCCGGTAGTGCAGCGTGATGCAGGAGGACTTCATCGTGATGCCCCGCGCCTGCTCGTCGTCTCTGCTGTCGAGGTACCGCAGCTGCCCGGCCATGCTGTCGTGGATGAGCCCGTTCGAGGCCACGAGGTGATCGGTAAGCGTTGTCTTGCCGTGGTCGACGTGCGCGAGGATACAGATGTTGCGGACGCGCTCCTGCTGCCGCGACAGGTGCATGAAGTCCGAAATGTCCCTGTTCATCGCTGCGGCCGGCGCCAAACGCCCGGGCTCCTACGCGACAGGGCAGCACAGCCTTCACCCCTCTGGGACGCCCACGGCGCAGGGGGGCAGCGTATCGGGCGGTAAAATGTCGCGGCCGCCTCTGTGTATCCGTGAAAAAGCAGCGCCGCCGAGTTGGCGCGGAATGGCCACCGCAGCGCCACGTGAGGGCCTGCGGAAGCAGCCCGGCAGCGCTCTCTCACGCCGCAGCGCGCCTGGTCATCCTCGATGGTCGCTTCGAGTCGCCCAGGCTACTCCACCTTCTCCGCATGTGCCCGCGGCGAGCGAACTCGCGCGCGCAAGCAGCTCTGCGGGCCGCCGCACCGCGCCAAGCGACCCCCGGAGGCCTGAGCGTGCGCACACGGCGCCGCGGCGCCGCTTCCGCGGCCTTTCGGGCCCGTTCCGGGCGCCGCGCGGCCACAGCGACGCACCTGAGCCGGCCCCCGAGCGCCTCATCGCCCGCGCGGGTCTCGAGAGCTCCGGTTCCCCCGCACTCGTGTTTAGATATCAACGTGGGCGACAAGCCAGATACCGGCACCGCGGCGGGCGCCGAGCCGCCCCGCGCGGCGCCGGAGATGGACGTCCACGCCCCCGCGACCGAGCTCCTGGAACGATGTAACATTGAGCGGAAGAAGGCGCGCGTGGTGTGCACCAAGCGAGCGGCGGTGGTGGCAGCGAGCCTGCAGCCTCGCGCGACGCTCCCGGCCTCCAAGCAGTCCGAGCCCCTCTCGAACGCGTCCCTCGAGCGAATCATCCACGAGCACATGCAGAAGATCATCAGCGCGAGCAACGCGCGGACGCCTCTCGTTCTGAGGCCCAGCGCAGCCTTCGTGCTGCAGCACCTGCGGTCGGACGACGCGCCGGCCGACGCGCGCGGCCAGCGACAGGCCCTCGTCAACCGCGTCGTCCGCGGCAAGGACGGGAACGGAGGCGCCGACGGGCGGCGCGGCGGATCCCAGGTGAGTGCTGCGTGCCGGGATAGCGTCCTGCGCTCGCCGTGGGCGCCGCGCCCGCGGCTCTCGACGCGCCTACGGGCTCCTGTGTAGCGTTCTGTGCGCGCCGCGGCCGCGCGGACCGGCAGGACCCCGTACCCGGCCCGCGTCGCGCCCTCCTCAACAATGGCTCTTGCCGGCCCGTTTGGCGCCGATAGCGCCGCAAATTGCGTAAAATTGCACCCTGCACCATCTTCATGCTCCAAGCTATCGAAATTCGTGCTTGCATGCCCGGTCCCGGCCCTCCTCTCGTCACACCAGTGCTCTGTGCCCCTCGCCACTTCGTCCCGCAGGAGGGCGCGCGGGCCGGGACGTTCGGCGCGCCGAGCCGGTCCCCGCGCGGCGCGCTCGCCGCGTCCCCCGTCGAGCAGTCCGGGCACGGCCTCATCGACGACGCCGACGAACAGCGCGCGGTTGATGCGCTGCGCAACCTCCACGCGCACGCGTCGTCGCCGAGCAACGCGAAGCCCGCCGCGAAGGCGCACGCGAAGCAGGCCGCGCAGCAGGGCCCGAAGGAGCCCGCGGTGATCGCGAAGGTCATGGCCGATGTGTACGCGCGCGCTGAGGCCGCACGTATGTCGAGCAAGGCGGCAGGTGAGTGGCGCGGGGCGCGAGGGACCGCGCGTGCTGTGTCGGGGAGTCGCGGTGCTGTGGCGGCGCGGCAGATATGGTTTCGGTATTTGATGTTGCGCGTCTGTTTGTGCTTGGAGCTCACGGGCGCGGCTCGGACGGTGCGCTGCAGCGACGGAAGCGAGGAACGCGGCGTACGAGAGCCGGCGCGCCGCCAAGGCGCCGCGCCCCGGCGGCCGGCCCCCGACGGGCGGCCGGGGGGGGTGGCAGAAGAAGAAACAAAACACCCCCCCTTCTTCCTTCCCCGGCGCGACCCCCGTGTCCGCGTACCAGTCGCTCGCGGGCCGGCAGTCCGGCGTCGACCTCTCCAGTCTCGGAAACCTCCTCGCCGGCCACGGCGCGGCGCAGCCGAGCGCTGCATGGAGCACGCAGCTGCCCGCGCTGTCGCAGGAGCCCGCCCGCACAGCCGTGGCGCCGCGGCCGGCCATCGTGCCGATGCCGCGCACCTCGCTCCAGGAGCTCATGTCCAAAGTCGTCAACGAGCGCCGCAGCGCGCCGCCGCCCGCGGCGCCCGCGACCGGCGTCCCCGTCCACTCCGCGGCGCACCGCGTCGCGCTCGGGATGCACGCGCACATGCCGGCGCCGGCCACGGGCGTCGTCGTCTCGGCGCCGGCCGCGGGCGTCGTCGTCTCGGCGCCGCACGTGCACCACCAGCAGTCGGCGGCTGCGCAGCTTCAGGCGCTACAAAGCAGGGCGGTCGCGCCGCAGGCCCTCGTGCCGCAGTCGCTGCCGCAGCAGTCGCTGCCGCAGCACATCGCGGCGCAGCTGCACGGCGCTGTGGCGTCCGGGGCGGGCGTGAGCAGCCAGCAGCAGGCGGCAGTGCTGCGAGGGTACTTGCAGCAAGTGCAGCAGGAGCAGGTGAGCAGGGGCGGTGCGACGGAGGGGGGGGTTCCGGCTCAGGGAGGTGCTGGTCAGGCGGGGGGGAGGGGGGGGAGTCAGGATACGGCGCGGAACGGCGGCGAGGACGACGTGGATCTGTTCTTGATGTGAGGCGGAGTGCGCGATATATCGTGGTGTCTCTGAGCGTTGATTGGAAGATATGAGTTGCTGGTTGCGCATGCGCAGCTGTCGCGTGACTGGCCGGGCAGCGAACCGCGCCCGCTGCTCGCTGCTCGCCGGCGCTGTGGCTCGGACGGACCGCTCGGAGCGGGCGTCCGTGCGTGTCTCTCATCGCAGGACCAAAAACACAGTTGTGAGACAGCGGGGCGCACCTTGCACCCATTCGCGGCCGCAGCCGACACCCGGTGCCGCGGAACGATCCACCGGGGTAGCTAGCGGCCCAGCGCAGCGCGGCGCAGGTCTGCGGTCTGGTTCTGTTATACCTGACAGCTGCACACACACAGCTTCGCAGCAGTCCCCCCCCCGCTTCGCCGAGGACCACAGGGCGCGTCGCGGGCGGCCCACGGCACAACCTGGCGTGTGCGCGGCGCGTCGCGTGTCGCTGTGGCGTACTTCGTTCCTCAGCGACCTTGTGTGCTGCCCGCAGTAAGCGCAGCTGCACTGCAGGCGCGGGGTGACGAGAGGCGGGGAGGATGGACGTTGAGGCGGAGGTGTTCGCGGGGACGAGCGCGGAGGATGGCGTCGCCGGGCAGCTCGCGGGCATGTCGGCCGCGGACATCAAGCGCAAGGCTCGTCTCCTCGACAACGAGAGTCGCGTGCTCGAGGTGCGTGGCCGGCGCCGCGGCGGGCTCTGTTCGCGGCGCGGCGCGGCGCAGAGCGCGGGAGAGCGTCTGTGCTGGGCGGAGATCCGGTTTGGGTGCACGATCCTCTTGATGTGGCGGCGCGCGGGCGGGCGGAAGCTGCCTACGAGGCCCGAGGGCGCTCGTTTCGCGAATTCCTGCGGTTTCGGCGCGGCTGGCGCGCGCCGGGAGGTTGGTGAGTGGTTGTGGGGATCGGGGAGGCGGCGCGGCGGGGGTTATCGCGTGCGACGGGCTCGTGCGCGGGTGTGCTGGGTGCGATGCAGGGCCAGGCGAAGATGCTCGAGCTGGACGTGCGGGGCATGGACGAGAAGGTCAAGGAGAACAAGGAGAAGATCAAGCTCAACAACCAGCTCCCGTACCTCGTCTCCAACGTCGTGGAGATCCTAGACATGGTCCCTGAAGACGAGGAGGTGAGTCTCCAGCGACGCGCGAACGCCACGGCCTCGCAACGCCGAGCTGGCGCCTCCCGCCGCGCCCAGACGCAGACACTCGCGCGGCCTCCCGCCTCGCACGCAGGACGGCGCGAACCAGGACGTGGACAGCCAGCGCAAGGGCAAGGCGGTGGTCCTCAAGACTTCGACGCGGCAAACGGTCTTCCTGCCGGTCGTGGGGCTCGTGGACCCGCGCGACCTGAAGCCGAACGACATGGTTGGCGTGAACAAGGACTCGTACCTCATCCTCGACACGCTGCCTGCCGAGTACGACAGCAGAGTCAAGGCCATGGAAGTCGATGAGAAGCCTACGGAGACGTACGGGGACATTGGAGGGCTGGACAAGCAGATTCAGGAGCTCGTCGAGGCGGTCGTGCTTCCCATCACGCACAAGGTGCGAAAACGCCCCGGAAACCCACGCGCGCGGCGCTGTGGTTGCTCTCTCGCGGCGTGCACGCCGCGGCGCCGTTCCGACCGCGGCGCCCCTCGCGGCGCGGCGCGCGCGCAGGACCGCTTCCTGAAGCTCGGAATCAAGCCGCCGAAGGGCTGTCTGCTGCACGGCCCGCCTGGGGTCGGCAAGACGCTGATTGCGCGCGCCATCGCCGCCCAGACCAAGGCGACGTTCCTCAAGCTGGCCGGGCCGCAGCTGGTCCAGATGTTCATCGGCGACGGCTCCAAGATGGTCCGCGACGCCTTCGCGCTCGCCAAGGAGAAGAGCCCGTGTATTATCTTTATTGACGAGATCGACTCGATTGGCACGAAGCGGGTGGACAGCGAGCTGAGCGGGGACAGGGAGGTGCAGCGGACGATGCTCGAGCTGCTCAACCAGCTCGACGGCTTCTCCAGGCACGCCCGCGCGCCCACAACCACAAGAGTGACCACCGCACACATATTGCGCTAAAAACGCAACGAAAGACGCAATTTCTCGACTCAGAATCCGCCCCCGCGCGCTCCCGCGCGCTCCCGCGCCCCGCGTGCCCCCCAACACCAACACCCCCCAATACACCCCCCCGCAGCTCGGACGAGGTTAAGGTCATCGCGGCAACGAACCGGCCGGACATCCTCGACCCCGCGCTGATGCGCTCGGGCCGCCTGGACCGCAAGATCGAGTTCCCGCACCCGGACGGCCCCGCCCGCGAGAAGATTCTGATGATCCACTCGCGCAAGATGAATGTGTCGCCGGACGTCAACTTTGAGGAGCTGGGGCGGTCGACGGAGGACTTCAACGCCGCGCAGCTCAAGGCGGTGTGCGTGGAGGCCGGGATGCTCGCGCTGCGGCGAGACAGCACGGTCGTGTGCCACGAGGACTTCGTGGAGGGGGTCACGCAGGTACAAGCCAAGAAGAAGGGGACTGTCAGCTACTACTGCTGAGTCAGGGGGGGGGCGTTTGGTGTGGCTGGGCGGTGCAGTGCGCGGGGGGGTGCGTGTGAGGCCGTGTGTGGCGGTGTGTGTTTCTGGCGGTGTGTTTGCGGGGGTGTGTTTGTGGGGAGGGTGGGGGGGTGTTGTAGCGCCGCGGGGGGGTGGGCGGCCTGTGGGGCGTCGCGTCGGCCGGCGGCGCGGGTGCTGGGTGCCGCGGGCGGCGCGGCAGGACAGCGCGTGGCACCAATGGCCTGCAAGTCGAGATTCAGGGTCTCACAATTCAGTGGCTTGTTTAGGAGGTACGTGAAGCGCGGGCGTCGCGGCGCTGCTGCTGTCGACGGCGCGTCGCGTCCGTGCTGCTGAGCCCGTGACTGCTGCACCACGTGGCAACAACCACCACGACACGAATTGTCTCTCTGCGCTGCTCCAGTGCAGCGAGCAGCGCGTGTGGTTCGGGCCACGAATTGTTGGAATTCTGCCGTCGACGTCATGTCTGAGTCGCATCAGCGGGGAGAAGTCGGGTTCGAGGTACCGCGTGGCCGTTGTTGCGGAGCAGGCGCCGTCCCAGAGGGCGCAGGGCTGATGAGAGAGAGAGCGCCGCGTTCGCAGCGAACGCGTCGCTGATTTCGAACCACGCGCGGATCCGCTGCGTTTTACGTGCGAGACGCGGCCCCGGACGCCGGTTTCAGGGCCGCCGGAAGTACCTACAAGGCGAGGCGCCGCAGAGGCAAGATACCAGAGCAGCGTGGGCTTCGGGCCCTGGAAAGTCCGACTGCGGAGAGCCCCCGAGACAGTGTCCTCCGGCCTGCGAGCGCGGAGCCCATTGCGTCGGTCTCGCGGCGATCTCGGCGACTACAGCACGCACGCCCACGCACTCAGCAGCCCGCGGACGGTCGCAGACACTTCCGCGGCGAATCACGAGCGCACGGGCGTCCAGGCAGCCCGCACAGCTCCAGTGCCCGTCCTCGTCCACGGGTGACGTCATGCACGTGTCCGCGAGCGCCAGGACCCCGAGGATGCAGAGTGCGCCCGTGCGCGCAGCCTGCGTCGCGGGCCCGCGCGCCACCGCCACCAGGCCCGCCCGGGCGTGCAGTCGCCGCACGAGACACGCCGTGGCTGCCCTGCGCGGCTCTCCAGGTGCGGAGCCTCCCACGCCACGCGACGTGTATGCTCAGAACCGCGACGGCTGCTGCGGCAGCGCGGCGGTGCGCGGGCTGCTGCGTGCGCGAGCGCTCGGCTGCTCTGGCGGCGAGACCCCGGTCGCGCGCGCGGCCGTGTGCGGGGCGGAAACGGCGGCTCCTGGCCGCGATGGAGGCAGAAGTCGTTGCGGCGTCTGCCGGGCTGCCAGAATCGCGGTATGTTGCGCTGGTCTGACTGAAACCGGACTGAGCCACCCCGTCGTGCGTCCTGTCCGCGCGCAGGGACCGCGGAGGACGCCCCGCGCAGCGACACGCAGTTCGCGGACGCGTCCGCGGACGCGGGTCCTGCGGCGGGCGTCGTCTCGCAGGTGCGCGGCTCAAAACACCCCCCCTTTCCTGCCACCGCGGCTCTCAGAATCTGATATCTGCCTCTCCGAGCGCCCCAGGGCGCCGGCCGAGCGCCGGAGATCCCTCCTGCGCCTTCTCGCACTGCACACAGCGCCAGCGCGACATCGCAGCAGCGAAGAACGCCCACAACATGATTGGTTGTCGTGACGATGCGACGTTCCTTCCTCTTCCGCCGTTCCGCGCAGGGCGCCGTCGCCGAGGCGAGCGAGCCGTACTTCCACGTGCCGCCACGAAAGCAGAACGTCAAGCCCGCGTCCACGGGCATGCCGCCGTGGATCTGGGCGATGGGCGGCGCCCTTGTGGCGGTCGGGGTCACCAAGGTACGCAAACGCCGGCAGCGACGCTCACCGGAACAGCGATAACGACACAATGACACAGTGACGTGCACGTGTCGTCTTTGGCGTCGTTGTGGGTGCTCGGGCGCGACGCGCGGCGCGGCGGGCGCGGAATGTGTTGTTGCGGTGCACAAGGGCGTTGTTCGTGCCCGGTGCGGGTGCAGGTCGTGGATTTCACGAAGCGCGGGCCGGCGGACATGCAGGCGAAGATGATGCAGCAGATGATGGAGCAGATGGCCAAGCAGGGCGACGCGGGCGGCGCACCCAACCCCTTCGGCATGCCAGGCACGCCCACACGCGATCCGATCCGATCGTGCTGCGACACGCAACCGGATAGAATTCACGATATCGCTGGCATGTACCTGTCTGCGGGACTCGCCGTCCGCGCGGGCAGCGCAACGACCCCTCCTCACGCCCCTGGGGGTGTGTTGTTTTTTCTTCCCGACGCAGGCATGGGGGGCATGCCTGGGATGGGCGGCATGCCTGGGATGGGTGGCGCTCCGAGCGGGTTCACGGACACCACCGCGACGCCCGCGCAGAGCGCCCCGGCGTCGACGCCCAGCCCCGCACAGAGCGCGCCGGCGTCGTCGTCGCAGACCACCACCGCGCAGAGGTGCGTTCGCGAGCCGCGCTCCTCCTCTCTGACGTGCTCCGCGTTGTGCGTCGTGGTGGCGCGGGTATTTGGCCTTCGTCGAGGTGTATATGTATATATATATATGTTCATGTATATATATGTTCATATGCGTGTATATATATCAGCACTGACGAGTTCTGAGGTGTGCGGGTGCGCGTTGCAGCGTGGACGTGACGGCGACGAAGACGGAGACGAAGAAGAGCGGCGCGTTCGCCGACGTGTCCGGTGCGAAGTCCACCACCACCAGCACCACCAGCACGCCCCCTCCCAGTGGCGGAGAGACCAAGGTGGGTCGCCGGCGCTGTCCTGCCTGGCAGCCGCGAGCTACGCCTTGCTCTCGCGCGGCCCAGACAGCCCCTGCGTGGGCGGTGTAGGCTTCGCGTTCCCCTGCGTTGCGCAAGTTGAGCGTTTTGGCCGGGTGGGTGCTGTGCAGACTGCGGACGCGTCGGCGGCGGGCGCGGGCGGTGAGAAGCCGCGGAACGCTACGATGTCGCTGTTCGACCAGATGCTCAAGGACCCGGAGGCGCAGAAGGTACGCACCCCGCTCCTCAACGCCCATCCACCCTTGATTAATAAATGTTCCACACTCACGTGCTTGCTTCTTGAACATCCAAGGACAGACGCTGGTGATCAAGCCAAATGCTTGCCACGTCATATCCTACCACATCCTGTCATGCTATCCCGCAACGAGCCCAGTCAGCCACCACCACCACCTCTGCAACCGCCACAACAACATCGCCCCCGCCCCGCCCCCCTTCCTGCGCGCAGATGCTGTACCCGTACCTCCCCGAGCACATGCGCAACCCCGAGACGTTCAAGTGGATGATGGAGAACCCGGAGGTTCGCCAGCAGATGGAGACTATGTTTGAGCAGCAGGCGGGCGCCATGGACCCGGAGATGCTCAAGGCCATGGACGGCTTCTCCATGGAGGACCCCGAGGTGCAGAAGCAGTTCGAGGCGCTGGGGATGTCGCCGCAGGACCTCGTGAACAAGGTCATGGCCGACCCGGAGCTGGCGATGTCGTTCGGGAAGCCCAACATCCAAAAGGCGATCATGGAGGTGTCGCAGAACCCGATGGCGATGTCCAAGTACAGCAACGACGAGGAGGTGATGAAGGTGTTCATGAAGCTGAGCAGTATCTTCGGGCCGGGGATGGGCGGCATGCCCGGCGCGGGGGCCGGCACCGACGCGCAGGCCAAGAGCTGACGCGCGGCGGCGTGACGGGACGGGCGCGGTGCGGGGCTGTGAGACGGCGCCGCGGTGGCGAGCGGCCGTGCGGAGCAGCGAGGACGGTCCAGAGCAGCTGAGCGGCGCGAGTACTACATTTCGCGCGAGTACTCCTAGCACGCTGCCGCCTCGATCAGGACGATAGCACACCCGCATTTCGTTTCGTGCGCGGGTGATCAATCACTACTTTGCGCGGTTCTTGTGTTGCGCTTGCACGTCGACAGCGCGTCCGCGGTCGCCGCGCTTCCGTGCCGCTTCTACTGCGTTGCGCTGTGGTGTCGGAGCCCCGCACGTCCGACGCGGGTTCGTCCGAGGCCAGCCGGCTCACATTTCGTCTCTATTTCTATTTCTGTTGAGGCCACGACGCCACGACACGACACCGCGTCGTTCATTCCTGCGCCTGCTCGCGTTTGGCCATGCGGACCGTCTTGAGCATCCACTGCATGTCGGTGACGGTCGACTCGGCGTGGCGCGTCGCGGCGGCGCACTTGGCCGCGTGCACGCGGTCGGGGTTGATCTTCTCCTCCCGCTTATACTTGGCCTTGATCTGCGGCCGCGTCCGGCCGGGGAACAGCCGCTCGATCAGCGAGAAGTCGGCGCCGAACTGCACAGGAAGAAAACGGTACCAAAAAATAAATAATCACGAATGAGAGACTAATTGTGACAGCGCAACAAACGAATCGCCACGAGGGAGCACGAACGCCCCTGCTGCGGGCCAGCGGCGCGGGACCGCGCGCCCCATGGAGATGCGATATGACGATGATATGATACCACTAGTGAGCAATATGTAGACGTAAAAAAACGAATATGTAAAAGCGAGGTCTTCGTGCCTGTTCGAGAGCCTTGTAGAACAGCTCCGTGTCCTTCAAGCTCCACCGGTCGCGCGGCGGGCGCGTCGAGTAGCTCTGGTTCGTCAACCGCTTCTTATCCGAGTCCACGCGCACCAGCGCGTGCCGCTCAACGTCGTGGTGCAGACTCAGCGTATCCTGCTGCAGGGCGAGCTTCCCGTCCACGATGCGCACGAGCGGCGTGAAGGCCTTCCGTGCGAGCCCGTCCGCGACGTCGCCCGGCGCGCCGCCTGCCTGCCCGCCGCCTGCGCGCTCCCCCTCGCCGTCGCCTGCGGGCTCCCCGGGCACGAGACCAGCGTGCAGGACCTTGAGGCGATTCTCGCGCTCGGCCTCCCTCGCCGCGCGGCGCTCGGCCGCGGCCAGCTCGCCCTCGCGCATCCAGGCCTGCACCGAGCGCCGGGACGCGGCGCCGCGAAACACGTGGACGGTGCTGCCGCTGTCGCAAACGAACAAACGATGCGAGGGCGCCGCGAAGACGGCGGCGGAGAATGAACGGTGGGGCGGGCTGCGGCGGTACCTTGGCGATCATCTGCCGCAGCGTCGGCCCCGCGGGCGGGTCGTGCGGCCGCGTTGACGTGTCGCTGAGCGCGGCTTTGATCGACTTGCTCAGGCCCGGTTTCCGCCCCCGCGGCTTCTTCGTCGGGGTCTCCGCGCTCGGGCCCGCGCGGCTGTCGTCGTCCCGCGCCGGCGCGACCGCGCGCGGCTCGAACGCCGGCGCGGGGCGGGCGGCGGGCGCGGCATCCGTTCGGCGGGCGCGCGGCTCGGCCTTCGCTCCAGCGCTGCGCGCCGGCGGCCGGGGGCGGTCCGTGCGCGGAGAGGACGGCGCGGCGGGCTCTTTCGGCTGCCGTGCGGCGCGCGGCGCGCCGTGTGCGTCCCGTTTGCGGCCCGCGGACGGGCTGGGCTCCCCGTGGGCTCCGGGGCGGTCTTCGGCGCCGCTGCCGCGGCGGCGTCGGTGGGCGCAGCGGCGTCCCTGGCCGCGCGGCGCGACGGGCCGGCCGGCGCGGACGGCGCAGCGGGCTTGGGCGCCCTGGTGGAGGCACGGCTGACCTGCACCGCCGCGGGACCAGGCCAGGAGGACGTCACGCGCGGATCCGGGCAGGTTTCAGGGTCCTCGTGCGACGTACGGGGGCTGGGAGACGTAACATGCGGGAGTCGCGGAGAGCCGGCGCCTCTGCGGCCTGCTTTGCTTGCGGGAGACGAGGGACGCGCACGCACCTTCGGGGCGACGGAGGGCAGGAAGGTCTTTTGGCGCGACTGTTTCCGCGACGCTTGGAGCTGTTCGAGCTTGCTGATGTCGAACTCCATGGCGCCCGGCTGCGGACGCGAGCCGCACTCGACTGCTGGAGTGTCTGGGCAGCAAAAGCACGCGGTTGTGAGGACCTCTACCGCCCCATCACAGGCGCGTGCGCTCGCAAGCACGGAGGCTATAGTAGGAACCGAGAACGTCTGTTTTCAGCTGCAATGACGCGCCTTGCAGTGCAAGAGAACGCCCTCTCTCTTTCGAGGCAGCGCAACGCTGCTGCGTCGTGCGGGGCGCGAGGGCAGCTCGGTTCCGTTCACCGTCTTGCGCGGAACACGGGCGGGGCGCGTGCTGCGCGGTGCGCCGCGCTTCAGACGGCCTTGTGCCCGGCCGCAGCGGCATTCCGCCCGTTTTTACTCACAACACGCTCCCGCAGCCCGACGCTGCCTCGTCCGACGGAGTAGTAGTAGGCCACGCCGGGGGAACTGGGGGGCGTTCCTGCGCTCTCGCTCGCGCAACGCGATGCGCGGGTGCGAGCTGCGGCTGCGCCAGGCAGCGCACTCCTCCCGCTTTCTTCGAGACTCCAGCAACTGCAGCTGGGCGCGAGACCCTCGGCGCCGACTCGCAACACATCGTCACAGTCACTATAGTCTCTACATGCAAACCTCCGATCCCACAACCACCCACCATCTAACCGCCTCTCCCCACCTTGCATTGTTCGATTAATAATCGTTTGATTATTAATCGTCCTTGATTGCTATTCCTTCATCCATCCTCCAGCTTCGCTCCTTACTGGTCGATGTTCAGGCACAGCGCGACGCCCTGCAGCACCCAGTGCGACGGGTGCTCGTGCGTCGCCAGGTCCGCCTCCATGACCAGCCCGACGCCCATGGCATTCCTCCTCGATTGAGTAATATACACCGGCGCCTTGAACGTATTGGCCAGCTTGATCTTCGCCGCCTCGACCGGCACGATCTGCATCAGCGGCAGCTCCGTCACCAGCACCTTGGGGTCCTGCCGCGCCAGCACCCCGCGCTCCAGGTCCCACGACGCGCCCTCTAGGAACAACCCCGACACGTAGCACCCGTGCTGCGGCTTTGCCTCGACCTGGTCGGCCGACGTCAGCGCCGTGACCTTCGTGAACAGCGTCGACTTGTCCAGCGGCCAGCCCTTGTCGCGGCACGCCGTCTGCACCAGCGCCGCGATGTACGTCTCCGGGATGTGCAGCCCCGCCAGCCACATGACCTTGGGCTCGCCGTGGGTGACCCAGGTGTTGTACTGGTCGTACCGCCGGCTGAACCACGCCATCCAGCTCCCGAGCATCTTCTCCGTCGCCGGGTTCACCCGCGCCCAGTGCTCCGGGAGCTGCCCGTTGAACAGGCTGTTGGCCAGCGCTTCCAGCTGCGGGCTGAATCCGATCTCTCCGGCGAGCGCGCGCTTGATCTCGCGCAGCGACGTCTTCATCGTCCGCAGCACGATGTTCCACCGGTCCAGCTCCTGCAGCAGCACGACCTGCACCGGCGTCGGCACGCCGATCTTCTTCCGCAGCACCGGGAGGTCGAACGGCTCCGGCAGCTTCGCGAGGACGTCGGAGACGACGCCGCCGATGAACTCCTCGCGCGAGACGCCGCCCGAGGTCCCGCCGACGCGCGGCTGCAGGTCGATCAGGCCCTTCCAGAGCGCCTTGGTCGAGTTGGTGTAGTAGCTGATGTCGGCGTTGGCGTGCAGGCCGAACACCTCGGGGGTCTGCACGAGCGGGAGCGCCTCGATGGAGGCCGTGTAGGACGACCGCGGGCCGCGCTCGGGGATGCAGTAGTCGACCTGGTCGTTTGAGAAGAAGTGGAAGGGTTGGAAGGTGTCAAAGAGGAAGTCGCCGAGGTACTCGTCGAGGTACGTGGTGAGCACGCGGCGGTCGTACGAGTCGGAGACGCGCCCGCCGTACATGGCCTCGCCGATGAGGTACCGCAGCGTGCCCCTGCGAGCGAGCGAGAGAACGCAAGGGGGGGGGGTTTGTGTGTCGTTGTGGTTGGTTCGATTGCTGCTTGCTCGGATGATCGCTGCATCGTTGGTTGCAGGCGGCGACGAACGCGTGGCGGAAACAGCAGCGAATCGCGGGCGGGACGAAGGCGTTGCGCGGAGACACACTGGCCGAGCAAAACACCCGCAGCAGGCGCGTGGCAAGTCGGCGCGTTAGCGGTCGCACCATGGGATCATGTCGTCCTCGTTGATGACCGCCTTCTCGAGGTACGTGCTGATCAGCGCCATGCTGATCCGGAAGTCGGTCTCGTTGAAGTCGTACGGCACGTTCCACCCGAGCTTGCCGTACTTGCGCCGCTCTTGCACCACGGCGTGGAAGAACGCGAGGACGTACACGAGCGGCTTGAACGCGTCGTGCGGGCACTCGCTCAGCACCTCGTCCGTGATCTTCGAGTAGGACGACCGCATGTTGAGCTTCAGCCCGTTGGGCGGCTCCGTGACCACCTTGAGCGACCGCTGCAGGACGCCGAGCGGGAACCGCTCCGTCGGCTCCGTCGTGAGCCACAGCCGGAAGTCCTCGTGCGGCTTGTCGATCTTCTCGAGAATCTTCTCCAGCTCTTTGAGCCACCTGCTGAGCAGGTGCAGGTTCTGCAGCATGATCCAAAGCCCGCGCGTGGCGCCCTGCTCGATGTACTCCTTCGCCTTGGGCCCCATGCCCTGCCCGAGGGCCATGTACTTGAGCTTCGACCCCGGTTTGAACCCCATGTCCTCCCCGAGCTTGAACACGTCGAACGCCGGGTCCGCCCCCGGCGACAGCACGAAGAGCACCGGCGTGAGCGGGCTGCTCTGCTTGTAGATGAGGTGGAAGTTGAGCACCGGCGGCTGGACGTAGCGCTCCGTCATCTTGGCGATAATGAAGCGCGTGACCGCGACGGTCACGCGGTCCACGCGCAGGCAGCGCAGCACGAGCAGACGCTCGAACTCCCCGAGCTTGTCGTCGTAGCCGTCGGGCATCGCCTCGTCCTCGGGGGCGTCCGAGTCGTACCAGCGCTGCCAGGCCGCGCCGTGCGCCTCGATCGAGTCCGCGACCGCGTGGAGGGGGTGCCCCTCGCCCAGGCCCGAGCGGAGCGTGACGAGGCGCATGAGGTCCTCCCACCCGGCCTCGGGGATCCAGTCGTGCGGCCGCGGGCGCGCGGACTTCTCCAGCGATAGGTTCCCTTTGAGGAAGAAGTCGAGCTGCTCGTGGTCGACCTGGCCGTCGACGTCGAGGATCTTGATCGTGACCTGGAAGGAGAACATGAGCTTGTGCAGCTCGAAGAGCCCGAGGCAGGTGTAGTTGTACACGTCGTACGTGAGCGTGTCGACGATGTTCTTCAGGCGCACGTCGAGCATCGAGTCCTTCTTCGAGTGCCGCAGCGACCCGTTGAACACCGTGAGGAACGACGCGAGGCTGTACTCGTACATCACGTTGATGTTCGCGAGGCTCGCCATGACGAAGAAGAGCACCGCGCCGCGCCGGGCCGCGGGGAGGTACTTCTGCCGCACCACGTCGATCTCCGCCGCCGCCAGCTTGGCCTGCTCGAGCTTCCCCGCGATCTCCACCGCCTGGCTCTTGGCCTTCTCGAGCGTGGAGATCAGCTCGTGGTTGTCCAGGATGTTGCCCGTGGCGTTCGACAGCTCAAACAACAGCACGTCCTCGAGCTCCTTGAGCTGCGACTTGTTCTCCGACATCTCGAGCGCGAGCTTCTCGCGCGTCTCCTCCAGGTCGGGCCGCTCGTGCCGCACCGTCACGTTGAGCAGCTGCTCCGTCAGCCCCTGTTGCGTCACCGAGTAATTGATAATCATCGTCTTTCCGGAGATCTCCGGACCGTAGTGCGGGTTGCTGAGCTTCGACGTCATGTACAGGCGGAAGTTGTCGTCCCACTCGACGTCCTTGTCGCCCAGCTTGACCATCTTGCGCCCGTTGGCCTGCACGGTGAAGCTCTTCTCGAGGACCGGGTCGATCACGGGGTCGACGTACTCGTCGAGGTTCTCGAAGAGGAACGGGAACCCGTACTGGATCGCCAGCTCGAGCTGCTTCAAAAAGTCGGCGTCGTTGAAGGTCTTGACGCGCCCGTCGAGGTTGGCGCCCTCGCGGCGCTTGATCCACGTCACCGCCTGCATCTGCGGGTCGATGCACAGCGGGAACCGGTTCGCGCGGACCGTGAGGATGCCGTTCTGCACCGACAGCTCGTCGCTCGGGAGGCCCTCGCTGCCCCACTGCGACACCTCGACCTCCGACGTCAGGAGATCCTCGAGGCGGAACGGCGTGGTGACGGGGACGCTCTTCGCCTGGATGTCCTCGACCCAGAGCTCGTACGTCATCCGGCGGCGGTACTCGTACGTGAACGCCCCGGTATAACTCAGGAAGCTCGACGTCAGCAAACAGTCCCCCAGGGTGCGCTCCTTGCGCGACCCGAGCTCGGAGAGCTCCTTGCTCCAGCGCTCCTTCTCGGACCCGAGCCCGTCGATGAGCTTCTTCGCCGCAGTCAGCCGCCGCGACATCACGTCCGACTCCTCCTGCAGCTCGGCCTGCTCGGCGGTCTTCTCGGCAAAGTGCTTCTCGAGGTCCGCGAGCTGCTCCGTGAGGCTCGCGACCTCAGCCTCGATGGCCTTGAGCTCCTTCTCGGCCTTCTTGAGGCTCTTCTCGGCCTGCGCGACCGCCTGCCGCTTCGGGTTGACGTCCTTGGCAACCTCGTAGTAATTCACCATGGCCGTGACCCACTGCAGGAGGCCCTTCGAGGCGGACGACACCTCGCCCGCGCGGTCCTCGTTCATCTCGGGGTTCTTGAGGTACTCGCGGATCTTCTTGATCTGCTTGTCGTTCAGCCCGTCCTTGTTGAAGTACAACAGCGAGTTGATGAACTGCGAGTCCGCCATCATGGCCTTCGCGCTGTTCCACGACACCTCCTTGATGCCCTTCAGGATCACCACGCACTCGCACACCTGCTGCACCAGCATCGGCGGCTTCTGGAACGCCCGGATCTCCCGAATGTCGTTCGGATCCAGGTTCTTCAGCGCGTTGGCCGCGATCTCCAGGACCGGCAACGCGGCCGCCAGCGCCTCCTCGGCCTCGGCCTTGTCGACCGCGATCTTCTCCGACAGCTCCTTGACCTCGGCGCCGCGCGTGATCGCCGCCTCCTGCTTCCCAGACACCACAACCTTGTTCTCCTTGATCTGCTCGATCAAAGCGTTGACCTCCTCGGTCTTGGCGTCCAGGACGACCTTGGAGCTGTTGAGCTTCTCCTGCAGCTTCGCGACCTCCTCCGACGCCTGGATCAGCTTCGTCAGCCCGCCCCCGAGCCGCTGCTGCTGCCCCTCGATCTGCGCGCGCGTGTCGGCCAAGCTCTTCTTGTAGTTGGCGATGAAGTCCAAGTAGTTCTTCGGCGTGACGTAGTTGTGCCGCCGCAGCTCCTCGAGGAACGTCCGGCTGAAGTCCCGCACGCTCTGGTGCACGAGCACCATGTGCTGCACGACGGGGTCCCGGACGCCGTCCGGGAGCACCTCTGTCAGGAAGGCGGACGCCACGCTCGTGAGCGCCTGCTCCGGCCACGGCTCGAACCAGTCGATCACCGTGTTGTTCACCATGCCCGGGAAGTTCCGGCAGCGGCTGCGCAGCGCGTCGCCGACGGGCGACATCGCGAGGACGACGTGGAGGAGGGAGCGGCACTTGGCGACGTAGTAGGCCCAGCACGCCTCGGGCGTGTCGACCATGCCCTTCTTCGCGACCTCGTCGCGCACGCTGTTGATCGCCGCGTCCTTCTCGCCCTGGTCGAACAGCGCGGGCACCATCCCCGACGTCAGCATGTTGTTGATGAGCTCCAAAAAGCCCTCGTCGGCGACGTGCGAGTCCGTGAACAAGAACACCATCGGCTTGCCCTCGCCGAGCTCGCTGTACAGCGTCTTGAGGTCGTCGCGGAAGCTCGTCTCGTCGTACCCGCGCGTGAGCGTGATCTCAAACACCTCGGCGCCGGCGGCGAAGGCCGCGAGCCGCGTGAGCGACTGCTTCCCGGACCCGCCGGTCCCGACGAGCAGGCTGTTGCCCTGCTCGAGGCGGATGGTGCGGTGCACGCGCGTGATGTGCTCGAGCGCGTCTTCGAAGAACACGAGGTTCATGCGCTTGTTCTTCCGGCGCTCGTTGTGCGTCTCGAGGATGTCCTCGAGGATGGGCTTGATGTCCGCGAAGGCGCCGAGGTCCTCGTACAGCCGCGCCTCGCCCTCGGCCATGGCGTTGCGGTAGTCGCCGAACAGGCACGGGTTGCGCAGCACCGAGTCCGCGTGCCCGCTGTAGCGCTCCGCGACGAGCTCGGCGAGCTTCGCGGCGAAGACCTCCTTGTCCTCCGCGCTCACGAGGCGGTCCTGGAAGATCCGCATGCACTCGTGGCGCCAGAGGCGGAGGAACTGCGGCGCCGAGGTGAACTTGTCGCTGGTCGACAGCAGGAGCCCCTCGTACACGCGGGAGAGGTCGCGGAGGTTGAAGATGTAGTGGAACCGCGACGGCGTGGGCGGGAGCTTCTCGACGATGTGGTTGTACAGCTCCAGCGTGCAGTTCGTGATGTTCTCGCTGGCGCGCTGAATCTCCTCCGACAGGCCCGTGACGTGGCTCGACAGGATGGCCTCGTAGATGGTCTTGAGGTTCTCGGTCGAGGGCGACTGGATCTCGAAGCACGAGAACAGCGAGATGAACCGAGGGTCCACGCTGTTGCGCGCGCCGCCGGGCGGGCCCATGGCCGCCACGACCTGCACGTTCTTGACGTGCTTCCACATGAGGTCCTTGCCGCGCTGGTAGAGCCCCTTGCGCTCGATGAAGAGCTTCATCAGCGCGATGGGCTGCTGCGTGCCGTACATGTCGACGCGCGGCATATTGAGGTCGTCCATGAAGAGCACCATGCGCTTCCCGAGCGGGGGCGCGAGCGTGTCGCGCGTGGGCGCCTCCGTCGCGTCCTCGAGCGCGCGCTGCACGTCCATGCTGCTCGTGCGCGACGAGAAGTTCAGCGCCAGCGCCGTCGACGTCGAACGGTCCATGTGCTCCAGCCCGTTCTGGATCGTCACCGTCTTCGCCGTGCCCGACTCCCCGACGAACAGGCACGGCTTGCTCGTCGCGAGCATCGTGCGCAGCAGCCAGCTCGACCGCACCGTGTCCGCCGTGGGCACCAGAATACTGGCGAACCTCCCGTCGTCCGGCGGCGCGTAGGGCTCCACGAGCGACTTCCACGAGACCCACGTCGAGGACTCGGTGTCGAAGCAGTACTCGTAGATGCTCTTCGACGGCAGCTGCGTCGCGGCGACGCGGTCCCCGTCGTTCGCGCCCAGCCCCGCCAGGTCCTTGACGAACGAGTCAAAGCGCTTGCGGTCCTCGAAGTCGCCCGTCTGGATCACGCAGGCGCCGATCGACCACACGACGCAGAAGATGAAGAGCGCCTCGAGCGGCTCCGGGTCGATGTCCATCGGCTCGGTCAGCTCGTCGCCCAGCACGGCGTTGAGCATGGTGCACAGCTGCGTGCACATGTTGAGGTTCGTGACGGGAATGGAGAGCCGGGGCTTGCGGACGAGGTCCTCGCCGTCGACGCCCTCGTGCACCCACGCGATGCACTTGTGCACGTACTTCTCGAAGAGGGTCCCGAGGTCCTCGCGCAGCACCTCGTCGCCGACGCTGTTGAGCCACTTGGTGAGGTAGGGCTGGTAGCCGAGGTTCCGGGAGTCGACGTAGACCATGCCGCAGCGGGAGATGGTGGCGGGGGAGGCGTACTGGAGGTCGAAGACCTCGAAGAGGAGCTTGCAGTGGTTCTGCAGGCGGATGCGCTCTCCGTTGGGCAGCGTGAGGAGCTTGTTGTCGTCCATGACCGAGTTCATGTTCTCGACCCAGACGGCGTCGACGTCGCCGTCGAACACGAGGTAGCGGGCCTCCTCGCGCGCCCCCGTGATCGACTTGTTCTGCGGAGCACGGGAGAGAACGCGACGCGGCAAACAATTCAGTAATTAAACATCGAAAGCATATGATGCGTCAACGGACGTGCACATCCCCTATGGTACGGAAGCCGGCCGCGAGAGGCGGCGGAGAGCTCGCCGATGCGGTGGACGGCGCGCGTGGAACGCGGGGGCAGCAAGCACGCAAGCGCAGCGCGGGCGTCGCAGTCCAGCCCACGGCGGCGCACCATCTCGCGGAAGATGCTCGAGAGCAGTCCGTCGGTCCAGTCGCGCGTGTCCGGGTCCAGCACGCCGTACAGCTCCGCGACGGGGATGGCCTTGGGGTTGATGATCGACAGGTGCGTCTTCTTCCCGAGCTTGGTCTGCGAGCGCGCCAGCGTGTTGAGGATGACGCTCTTCCCGCCGCCCGTCTGCCCGACGACCATCGTCGTGTGCCGCGTCATCAGCACCTCGTACAGCTGGATCACCTTGTCCACTTGCTCCGAGGGCCCGTCGAGCACCACGAAGCCGTGGTCGGCGAGGTCCTGCTCGACCGCGCCGTTGAAGTCCGGGTACCGCACGCGCGGGCAGTCCATGCCCGGGAACAGGTCGTTAATGAGGCCGAGGAACAGCGGGACGTCGTCAAACACAAACTTGGGGAGGTTCATGTCGCGGAGCGCGCGCATGAGCACGAGCTGCTCGGGCATCTCGGGCGACCCGCGCTTGAGGCCGCCGGCCATGACGAGCACCGACTTGAGCGCGCGCAGGCCGAAGTCGTAGTGGTACTGCTTCGACAGCTGCTCGCGCGCCAGCTTGTACAGCACCGTCATCTTCTTCGCGAGGAGCTTCGCGGTGTCGAACCCCTCGGAGAAGAGCATGATCTCGCAGATCTGCTCCATGTCCGGCACGACCATCGTCACCGGCCGGAAGAGCGCCTTGAGGTTGTCCGGCAGCTCCGTGCGCCCGGCGTACCCCGGGTTCATGGTGATGAAGATCCCCGTGCGGCCGTCGATCGCGATCTCGCGGCCCTCGAACTGGAAGCGCGTCGCGCCGTGCTTGAGCGCCTCCTGGATCTGCCGGATCTGCGATGACACCACCGACAGCACCTCGGCCTCGATGCGGTTGAACTCGTCGAAGCACCCCCACGCGCCGCACTGCACGAGGCCGGAGAAGATGCTCCCCATCGCCTTGTAGTCCAGCCCCTCGCCGCAGTTGAACACCACGCACAGCAGCGCCATGCTCTTGGCGAGGTCTTTCGTGGTCTCCGTCTTGCCCGTGCCGGCGGGGCCGGCCGGCGCGCCGCCGAGGCGGTAGGTCAGCGCGGTCGTGAGCGTCATGTAGCAGCGGTCCGTGAGCGCGGTGATCACGAGCCGGCCGTTGAGGCCCATGAACTCGAAGCCGTAGCGGAAGGCGCCCGAGCACTGGCGGATGAGGAGGTCGTCCGTGGGCTTGTCCCAGAAGAAGCGCAGCTGGCTCTCCCACGCGAACTCGCGCGCGTCCATGATCGAGTCGCGCACGAACGTCCCGATGATGTCGCGCGCGTGCACGTCGATGATGATGAGCGTGTTGACCTTCTTGCGGACCTCGCCGCTGATGTCGGACCGCACCATCGTGGTCAGGTCCTGCAGCTGCGACGTGAGCTTCGCGCTGAACTCCTTCATCGCATGCTTGTCGCCGGCCTTGACCTTGGCAAAGACGTCCTCCGTCTCCCACGTCCACCACACCTGCGAGCCCGCGAGCGTGATCATGCCGAGGCTCTGCTCGATCCACTTGTTCCGCGGCGTCCGCGCGTAGAAAAACACCCCCTCCTTCATCATGTGGTATAACGTGCGCTGCATCTCGGTCTGCACGGCGTTCATCCACTCCTCGACCGGCCCGGCGACCGCGACGGGCGTCCGGAAGTCGAACGACTCGCCCTCGGACGACGTCATCCCCACGATGCTCTTGTTGCCGCGCGCGAACTCCAGCGTCGCGCAGTTGTCAAAGAGCTTCAGCATGTGCTCCTGGACCGACGTGGGGTCCGACGTGCCGAGGATCGAGAGGAGCTCGTCGTCCGAGATGAAGTAGAACCGCGGGAACGAGCAGCGCTTGGTGTCGAGGTACTCGGACAGGCTCTTCTGGCAGGCCTCGAGCTGCTCCGAGAGGGAGTTGAGCAGGTCGAGGCGCCCGGGCGCCGCGCACGCGTCGAGCACGTTGGTGTTCTTCGACACCTCGTTCATGATCTTGCGCCACGTCTTGTCGACCGAGTCGAACCGCTTGGCCTCCTGCGGCAGCTGGTGGCGGATGTCGTCGCTGCAGAAGATGCTCTCGAGGTAGATCCACTTGCGCTGGACGTGCATCCAGACCTCGATGGCCTCGCCCACGAGGCTCAGCTTCTGCTCCCACGCCTTGACGTCCGTCAGGAACGGCCGCACGAACCGCGACGACATCATGCTCTGCAGGTTCAGCCCCATGTCCTCGAGCAGGACGGTGATGTCGTCGACGGACTTGAGGATCCACCCGCGGTCCTCCCCGCCCTTGGTGTACTTGAACAGCTCGAACTTCTGCTCCTTCCACACCGCCGCGACCTTCCCGAGCTCCAGCTCGATGACCAGCTCCTTGTCCGCGCTCGACACGATCTGATTGATGTCGGCCGCGTAGTTGTGGAGCTGCATGCTGAACATGTTGGCGAGCGTGAAGGTCTTCGTGTCCATGTCGAAGCTCTGCCCCGTCGCCTCCATCAGCTGCTGCCAGTGCCGCTTGCGCAGCGCGGGCGACTTGAGGTTCGTCATCAGCGGGAGCGAGTCCTGGAACCCGACGATCGTCTTCTCCACCGTCTGGTACAGCGGCATCTGCTTCAGGTGCTTGAGCTTCCGCAAACTCGCCACCACGCTCTCCGTCTCAATCACCATCTGCGACACCTCAAGCTCGGCCCACAGCATGCCCGACCACACCTTGACGTTCTCGCGGTGCTGCGTGTACACCTCGTACACCTCGCTCAGCCGCCCGAGCTCCGTCTGCACCGCGACCAGCTCCGGGTGCGTCGTCAGCGGGAGCCCGAACAGCCGCTCCGCGGTCATGAGCTCGTCCTTGCGCTGGAGCTTGGCGTCGAGCTCCTCCTGCAGCTGCTCGAGCATCTTGAGGCCCTCGTCGAGGTCCACGCCCGGCCGCCCGGGCCCGCTCGCCTCGAGCGCCTCCTGCATCTTGACGCACTCGGTGGCAAACTCCCCCACCTGGCCCGACGTGATGTGGGAGAACTCCTGCTTGCGGTCGTCGAGGTCCCAGTTGATGTCCTCGGCGTACTCGCGCAGCTCGAGCCACTGCACGCGCACCTGGCACGCCTCGTCCAGCGCCTCCGTCAGCTTCTGCCGCCCGCCCTCGTCGTCGCAGTACAGCACCCGCATCCGGAACCGCTCCTCGAGGTCCGTGTACTGCAGCTCCATGTACATGTGCTGCGCGCGGATCTGGCTGATCACCGACAGCACCGCCTTGAGGTCGTCCAGCGTCTCGGGCTCCCGGCTGAGCTCCTCGCGCAGCGCGGCGATCTTCGACAGCAGCTCTTGGAGCCGCGCCTGGTCGATCGCGGCCATCGTGTCGCTGACCGCCGCCAGCCACGCGAACGCCTCGTCGCGCACGGACGCGGCGACCGGCTGCGTGGCCACGCGGATGAAGTCGATGTCCTTCAGCTGGGGCTTGTTCCACTGCTCGTGCGCGAATTTGCGGTAGCGGCCCATTCTGTCCTCGAAGTCGGCCGTGGAGGGGTTCTTCCCCGCGAACTTCTCGAGGGCGGAGTTCTTGTCGGACTTCCACAGGCTCTGGTGGGCCTTCCAGTCGCTGTCGATGTACTTCTGGACTTGCGTGACGGTGAAGTTGATCGAGTGGTTGAGCCCGAGGATGACCTTGATGACCATCGGGTTCGCGCTCACGTCGTGGTAGAAGCTGAACACGTACGGCTCCTCGTCCTCCGCGTTCAGCGTCTGCGGCGGCGCCTCGACGCACGTGCCGTCCATCCAGCGCACGAACGGCTTCGAGCACTCGACCATGCTGCGCACGAGCTTCGTGAGCGCCTTGGACACCTCGGAGATCGCGGGCGTGCACAGCACCTCGGGCGCGGACAGCGACAGCACCACCTTGAACAGGGGCTGCAACGACCCCCCCCCCGGCGGGGGCGACATGAGCTCCTGCAGCTGGTTCATCGCGCGCAGCACGAGCGTGTTGAGCGCGCCGAAGATGAGCTGCTCCCAGTGCCGGTAGTAGCTCACGAGCTGCGCCGAGCGCCCGGAGCTCGTGCCCACAACTGCCTCCTCGATCTTCCCGAGCAGGGGCGAGATGGTGCGGTAGCGCCCGATGAGCTCGTCGACGACCTCGGCGCGGCGGCGCTCGAGCGCCTCGCAGAACTCGGCCAGGTCCATCAGCCCGTCGCCCGCGGCCGCCTCCTGGCGCACCTTGGCCACCACGCTGTCCACGATGGACGACGTCGCGATCTTCTCGACGACCGACTGCACGATGCTGCTGTTCTTGTGCACCTGCGACACGAGCGACTGGAACTCCTTGATCGCCTTGTTCGCGGACGCCAAGAAGTCCGCGATGCCGAGGCTGTTCCAGTTGAGCGGCGAGAAGCCCATGTCCATCGCGCGGCGCAGCTGCGCGAGCCGCCCGGACAGCAGCTGCCGGTGGATGTCGTCGAGCTGCGTGGCCTTGTGGTAGGACTGCAGGAGGTCCTCGATGCCCGCCACGTACGTCAGATACTTGTCCTCTTGCAACGCGATGTTGAGGGCGACGTCGGGGATCGGGAAGCCGAGGCGGTCGAGGTACATCGTCTCGCGGATGATCCGGAGGAGGTCGGGGTGGAAGTTGACCTCGATCGGGTCGTCCGGGCGCGGCCCCTGGCGCAGAACGGGCTGCTTGAGGTACGTCATCGCCGACGCGACGACCTGGTCCTTCCACTGGCTGTACAGCGCCTTCTCGTACTGCATCATGACTTTGGCGACCGCGATGTACTTGGCGTGCACGTCCTTGCCCAGCTCGGCCTCCTGCATGTCCCCCTGGATGTTCTGCAGCTTGCTCATGGTCTTCTTAATGCGGCTGAAGAGCGAGCGGGCCCACTTGATGGACCCGGCCACGCGCGGCTGGTTCCGCGTGATCGGCGGGTCCTCCTTGCACTCGTTGAACATCGCGCGCGCCTCGTCGATCTCGCGGCTGAACTGCATCAGAATGTCCGACAGCTTCTCCATCATCTGCCGGTTGATCGCGCCGGCCGTCTTGATGGACTTGAAGTTCTGCAGCAGCTCGAACGCGCCCTCCGCGCTGCGCAGCTTCTTGAACGACGAGTCGATCAGCGACTTGGTCGACCGCTCCACCTCCTTTGCGGCAGCGTCAAACTGCGCGCGCAACGCCGCCCACTCCGCGGCCTTGCTCGTGTCGAAGATGTTGAAGTCCACGCCCTCGAGCATGTCGACCATCCGCGCCACCTTGGCCGTCACGGCGTCGATGCCCTCCGTGTCGCCCGTCACCGCTTTCAGCTCCGGGCCGAGGAACCGGTTAAAGCCGTCGACGACGAGGACCATCTGCTGCAGGTCCCCGCAGATCCCGGCCATGTAGTTCGTCGCCTCGAAGAGCTTCTTGCGGTCGAACTCCCACCGCGCGCCCCGCCCCGACAGCTCGATCTTCTCGCGTGTCTCGCGGTACTTCTGCTGCCAGGCCTCCAGGGTCTTCTGCGCCGTGCCGAGGAGCTCCACGGCCTCGCTCGACCCGATCGTGAGCAGGCTCGACACGTCGATCTTGCTCGACACCTGCGCTCGACACACGCAGAACGAAACGACGGCGTTCAGCGGTGAGGGGCTCGGCTTGCGCGCGCGACGACGGCCAGGAACGGACCGAGACGGCGGCTGCGGCGCGAGAGACGTGCGCGCGCAGCAGCGCACGAAATTCATAAATAGCGGAGCGGAATATTATGTATATAGGTATATAATAGCGCACGGCGCACCTGGGAGTGGATCTCTTGCGCGATGCGCTCGAGCAGCGAGCCCATGCGGAGGTCGTTCGAGTAGTGCCGGGAGATGATCCACACCATCCGCAGCGCGTTCATCATCGGCGGGAGCGTGTCGAGCACCACCGACAGGTCGGGCGCCGCCAGCGACTTGAAGTGCCGCTCGAGCGTCATCAGGAACTTGACGTTGTCCCTGGCCTCGATGCACAGCTTCTGGAGCTCGAGCGAGTGCTGCCGGAACGCCGACAGCAGCGCCTTGTCCTGCGACCCCGTTTCCACCACCTCGATGATAGTTTGTACCTGCGGCAGCTGCATCTGCTCGAAGATGCCGCCGAGCGCCGCGCTGCGCTGCCGCCAGAACTCGATCTCCGCGAGCGGCTCCCGGCCCTCGGGCGCCTTCCTCTGCTCGCGCAGGCTCGCGGCCTGGATGATGTCGGACCACTCGTTCAACACCCCCTCGAGCTGGTGCACGAGCTCGAAGTCCGCGGCCGCGAGGTCCACGTTGCCGACCTCGATCGCGGGCAGCGGGAGCCGCGTGCCGCCCATCAGGTGCGCGACAGCGGCCTGGAGCGCGGTGGAGAATCGTTGCATCTGCGACGCCATTTCGGCCGTGTTGCTGGCGTACGACTCGAGGTCCATCTTCGACGGCGGCGCGGCGCGGTCCATCGAGACGGGCCCGCGGTGCAGGAGCGGCAGGAAGACGTCGTCGACCAGCGTCTTGAGGTCCCGCAGGCCGCCCTGCCCGCCGATTGTGCCGTACTCGACGAGGGCGGCGACGTCCGGGGCGCTGAGCGGCGCGTCGGTCGCGCGGAGGAAGAACGCGCTCGCGTCCGTGGCCTCCGGGACCGACCCGAGCGTCGCGACGAGGCGTGCGCGGGGCGGCGGGGACGCGGCGGCGGCGCGCGCAGAGGACGCGTGACGCGACACCGCGCGCTCGGGCGCCGCGTCCGCGTCCGCGGCCGCGTCCGCGGCCTCGGCCGCGCCGTCCTCGCCGTCCGCGACCTCGGCGTGGCCGTTCGCGTCAGCCTCGCCGTCGTCGTTGCCGTCGTCAGCGGCCTTGCCGTCAGGGTCCTCGTCGGCCGGCGGCGCGTCCGGCGCAGGGGCGTCGGCGTCGGCGTCGGCGGGCGGCGCGTCGGCGTCCGCGGGCGGCGCGTCGGCGTCGTCCGCAGCGGGGACGGCCTCGCTCTCGGCGTCGTCGTGCGTCGCGGGCTCGCTGGTGGCGTCGCCTGCGGCGACCGCGGCCTCGCCGTTCGCGCCCTCGCTCGCGCGGGCGTCCTCGGCGTCGTCCTTGTCGTCGTCGGGGATCAGGTCCTCGCCCTCCGCCGTGATGGGCTTGCGCACCTTGCGCGCGGGCTGGGCCGGCGCCGCGCCGCGCAGGGAGTCGTCCGCGGCGGGCTCTGGCTGCGCGGGCGGAGCATTCTGGCGCTGCTTGTACACGACGAGCGACAGGTCGCGCAGCTCCTCCCCTGCAGGACGCCGGAGAGAGCGCACAACAGGAAGGTGGGTGGTTTTGCGGGGCGGGGGGTTCCGCCGCGGGCGCGGCGCTGGCGGTATGTGTAGGCGTCATATCGCGGGGCGCGGGGCGGATTCGGCGCGGAGCGGGCCGTGGCGGTGCGGGTGGGGCGGGAGTGGTGCTGTGTAGCTGCTGGCGCGGCGAACGCGCAGCGTGGCGCCGCAGGGCGCTCCTGCGCCGCGCGGGCGGCGAGGAGCGAGGGAGGGGGGAGCGGGGGGCCGCGGGAGCGGCGGCGTGGGGCCGTGGGCACGCGGCCACGGCAGCCGGGGAGGCTCGTGCTTTCGTCTGGGGCAGATGCGTGGTGGGCGCGCCGGGCGCGCTGCGACGCGTGGGGCGCGGGGACGCGCGGCGCGGCGTCCAGCGGCACGGTTCAGGCGTCTGGGGTGCGGAACGGGGCGCGTCGGCGCGCAGGCGGCCCCCCGGAGGCCCGCACGCCTGGTCAAGAATAGCTCTCGCGGTCTCCTGGCGCGTAAATAGGCTCATACCTCCGGCCGCGAACTTGTCGAGGATCTGGGCGAACTCCGGGTCCTGGTGCGCCTGTTCGAGCTCGGCCTCAGACACCTCCAGGAGCTCTCCGACCTTCCTGTAGAGCCATTCAACAGCCTGCTGGCGATCGTCGCCCCCTGCCGCCGCCATGGTTCCTCCGGCGGGGCGGGTGCGACTGCGGAGCTAGCGCTGGGCCCGCAGCGGCGCGGTCACGCCCGGGAAAGTGCGGTGCGGGGCCCAGCGGGTCCGGGCAGGCCTGCGGCAGTGCGCCGGAGCCCTGCTTTCTCGATTGCGGCGCAACGCGGTCACTGCCTACTAGCTGCGACCCCGCGCGAAGAGTATATGCACGTGCCCGCGCGCCGGCGCCGCAATGGGCCCGTACAGCGATCCAGGGGGGGCCTGAGCGCCCCTGGCAGACATCCACGCACCAGGCTGGCTCCTCAGTCCCGGCCGCGGCGCCAAACGACCGCGAGGTGCACCCAGCCGCGCCTTTCCTGCAAGAACACCGCCCTCTGTACCGGTTTGGATCGATTTCAGGATCGCATGCCGCGCGTTGAGGCTCGCGCGCGGCACCGAGTGGCGCTCGCGCGTGGCTGTGACGACGGGGGGCGTGCCCGGGCGTCGAGGCCCTCAGGGCGCACTGAAGCGGCGCGAGCCGTGTAGAGGAGCTTCAGGGAGGCGGTCCCGGTGTGTTGCGGCCGCGAGATGTTTACGTCGCCTGCGAAGGTCACGTGTGTGGCAGGCGCAGTGCTGCGCACGAACCGAGTTCAGCGCAGCGGCGCAGTTGGTGACGAAACCGGCCTTTTTCCCCGATTCAGAGGTCCTGTACTATCTACAGAGCGCTCACGCGCGATGTCGAGGCCTTGCGGGCGGCATCAGCGGCGGAGGTGCGCCGTGCGTGGCACGCACGGTGGCAGGGTGCGTGGCGCGCCGCAGCTGGCTGCGGGCGCAGCTGCGCGCGCCGCGGGCGTAGCCGGCCGCTGAACGTCGCGGGCAGCGGCGGACGGCGGTCGCTCGGACGACCACGCTGTTTGTCACTGCACCCACCTTCCTGCGAGCTGACGAAGTCCGTGCTGCGCGGCCCTGCGGCGCGCCGCGCGCAGCAGCGCTCGGACGCGCAGCGTGGCGCGCCGCGAGCGCGGCGGAAAGACCGACGGAGCGGCGGCGCGTGACGCAGCATGCGTGCAGCTGCGCGGGGCCGCGGGGCCGAAACCCGCCACGGTGGCCGCAGCTTCGCGATCCACGGCTCGGATCATCCCTCGACAGGCACCTCACACCGTCGCATTTGCGAAAAAAGCCGCACAACGCGCAGCAACGCGCCCCGACTAGAAGTCGCTGCTGGCGGCGCGGTACGCCGCAGCGCCGCCGCCCGGCTTCCCCTCCCCCGCCCGCGCGTCCTCCGCGAGCCCGGCGCCCCCCGCGCGCGCCTCTGCGTCGGGGTCCGTCTCCACGGCCTGCACGGTGATGCCGCGTCGCCGGCTGCGCACCAGGTGCAGCTCCGCCGCAGGCGGCATGCCGACGAGCGTCCACGGCGAGGGGCTCTTGTCTAGGTGCAGGAGGCCCGCGACGGCGCCGGCGTCGGGCGCGAGGCGCACGACCTGCGAGCTTTCGCTGATGGCCTGCAGCCGCACGACGCCGTGGCACATGTGCATCGCGTGCGCGAGCGTGGAGTCGCTGAGGACGCCGATGGGCAGCGAGACGATCGCTGCGAGGCCCGCGCCGTTCCCTGCGGCGCGAGGAAGCCCAACGCGGGGTGTTACGACAGCTGCGCTCCGCGCGGCGCCGGCTGCTAGGCAGGCATGCCGGTGGGCGCAGTGCGTGTTGCGATGGCGCGGTGGTTGCAGAGGAGAGGGAGGTGCGCTGTGAACGAGAGCGGCGGTGGTGGTGCTGCTGGTGTGTGAGCGGCGGTGCTGGCGTGGGTGGGTGCGCGCGCGCGTGCGTGCCTGGCGCGGCGTTCTCGGTGACGATCTGGCGCAGAACCCAGAGCACGCGGAGCACCTGCGCGCTCGCCTGCTGCGGCCCGCCGCGGAGCACCTGCCAGTCGAGGCCCGCCAGCGACTCCAGCGCGATCCGCCCGACCGCCCGCGCTGCACAGCGCGCACGCACGTTACGCAGCACACAATATTATAATCATTCCATTTCTCTCGCGCGCGCGCGCTGTCGCAGCGACGCCGGCGCCCACGCGGCCCCACGAACGACGAGACGCTGCCTGCGCGTGCGCGTCCGCGGCGGCCAGCGAACTCCCGGCAATCCCCGCGAATATTCGCTTTTGTATTCGAGGAGCGAACGCACCGGGAACGGGCGCCACCGCGGACGGCTTGCCGCCGTGGTCGGCCTCCCAGGTCTTGGCCGTGCGCCACACGCCTTGCGCGAACTGCGCCAGCGCCTTCTGCAGCGCGCGGAGGTTGCCGAGGCTCCGGCACTGCACCTGCACCAGGCTCGTGCCGTGCTCCGTGAGGTACGACGGCGGCATCGCCGCCGACAGGTCCCACTTGTTGCACCACACCTGCAGCCAGTCAGACACGCACACAGACGCGCTCAATCGACGCTCCGGCGCGCGCGACGGGCCGGCGCAGGGCCGGACTGGGTCCAGCGACGCGCGCGTCGACGCAGCCGGTCGCACGGTGCCGGACCGGTCGAATACGTCAAAGATTGATAGCGTTCAAGTTGAATTGAGATTTGGGGTCTTCCGTTGCACGGAAGAGTGAGGTGGCGCGCCGGCAGGCGGGCCGCGCGGACCTTCGTCGCGCCGCTGCGCGCCGCGAGCCTCCCGCCGCCGCCGGGGCCGCCCCCTGTGCTAGCGCGTGCTGCTGCCGCACGGGCCCGCAGGGCGGCTTCGCCTCCCGCCGCCATCAGCTCCGCCTCCCGGCTCCGCTCCGACCGCCGCATGTACCGCCTGCGACAGGCCGGGCACGCCGGCGCCGACGAGTGAGCACACGCGGCGTCGCGCACGCGCACGCGGCACGCAGCGCCGTCCAAGGGACGGGCCGCGCGCACCGGTACTGCCACGCGATCTTCAGCGAGTGCCCCTCGCCCTCGGCGCCCGCGTCGTCGCCCCTGGCCGCCGCGTCCTCGCCGGGCGGCCGCGCAGCCGCCCTCGCGCCGCTCTCGGGCTGCGCCGCCGCCGCCGCCGCCGCCGTGGTCGCGGGCAAGCTCTGCCCGGCGTCCGGCGCGGCCCAGAGCAAGCGGTGCCCGTGCGACGCGCCCTCCGCGAGGAATTGCCGCATGATGTGCACGTGGTGCGGCGACGCTCCGTCCTCTATGACAAGCAGAACAGATCCGATCGGGAGCCCGCCGCCGAGGATTCCGTCGATATCCGCGTGCCCGGTCGACACGAGCGTCTGCGCGAGTTCACACACAAAGCGGCGAAACGATCGTCCTTCGGGGAAGCGAGGTGCGGTGCGTGGGTGTGGGGTGGCGGTGGGCGTGCCTGGCCGTGGAGACCCGGCTTGGTGCCTGGCGCGGTGGTCTTCCCTGCGCCGTGCTGCTTCGCTGCGCGCAGCGCCGCGATGCGCGCGCGGTGGGACCCCGGAGGGGGGGCGCGGCGGAGGTCAGCGCTCGCGTCCGGGCGGATAGAGCCGCTCTCGCCCGCCGACGGCGGCCGCGCCCGCTCGAAGCTCGCGCGCCCGGGCCGCCCGCCCGTGCGGCCGAACGGCCGCCGCTGCGGCGCCTCGCTATCGGCCATCGCGCTGCGCTTGTGGTGCAACCGTGCCCGTGCGGCGCGAGCGGCCGGCTGACCGTGCCCGAATCAAGCGCGAAACATGCCTCTGTGCTATATGCACGTGCTCGCGGTGTTTTGGGCTCTGGATCCGCGAATACAGAGCGTGCTCCGCGTAGAGGACACTAGGTGAGATGAAAGCGCCGGGTTCGTCGCCGAACGGACGATGGGTTCCTCGTTTTGCGGTCCTCGATGTTGCTACGTGCCGCAGATGCGCGTCGCCGGGGGCCGCGGACCGCCTAGACGGCGCCCGGCGCCGTCCAGCGACGACGCCCCACACGCGCGGTGAGGCCTCTGCAGTCTGTCGACTGCCCCGCGGCCTAGAGGGGCTCGCAGCGCCCGGCGCCGCCGCACTGCTTAGCGGCCACAGTCAGCTACGTACAGAACGTACCCCCAAGCGCATTTCAGGCCCACGCGCATCTGAGCGCTCGAGACGAGCTGCACTGGAGTGCGCAGTTGCAGGAACTCGCTCGATTACGGCCCTGTTCCGGCACATACGTGGCGTTCCGGGCCGGCGCGGGCTTCCGCAGTCTCCGGCGCGAGCTTGGCGGCCGCGTCCCGCCGGCTGCGTTCTCGGAGGGACGCGCGAGAAGCGTCGGGAGTTGCGACGATTTAGACGCGCGAGGCGCGAAGTCGCATGTTGGTCGCGAACGCGACGCCAATGTCGAAACAGAAGCGCCGGGGCTGACGCTATCCTCAGAGACCACGCCTGGGGCGGCTGTCTGTCCGCGCTCGCCCGCGCAGGGCGTCGCAGCCGGCCGGAAAGCACTGGCGCGGAAACTGCAGGCCTGGTGAGGCGCGGGGCGTGGCGCAATGTCGGCGTTCGACCGCTTCGGAACGCAAGCCTACGAGACGCTGGACCCGCTGACGAACCTGCGGCTCCGCGTCGTCGTGCGCGTGTCGCAGCGGCCCCTCCCGGTGCGTGCGTCTCCGACCAACACGCGAGCGTCCTCCCGCCGCGCACCGGCGCCAGAACGCACGGCGCCGGCCGCGTCGCAGCCCTCCTGTACGAGCTCTGCGGAACGGCGCAATTCTCGGGAAGTTTCGCGACTCGTGCGCGGCAGAAATCACGCAGCCTTCCCACTGTGTGTTGCGCCGCTCCAGGCCCTGCGCCTCGCGTGAAATGGCCTGCCGCACCACGCAGCGACAGAAAGCACCGTTCCGCCGCGGTCCGGGACGAGCCGCACCCACGAGCTCGCCCGCTTCCACCTCCCTCGCACCTGCGACGCGTCGTGGCAAAAAGAGAGCCTGGTTCCCGACCGTCGTCGCAGGAGACGTTCCTGGAGCCCGCGGGCGACGATGAGGGCGAGGCGGAGCCGGAGGCCCCCGAGCAGTCCGTCGTCGAGCACGAGGCGTTCCTGACGTGGCAGCAGAAGCTCCCGCGTCAGGACCTGACGTCACGACACCCCCCCGGGGACGTGCGCGGGCCCATCTTCACCTACGTGGACACCGACGCCTTCGTGCAGGAGGCCGCCGTCGCCGTGCACCCGGGCACGACCACAGGCGAGCCGCAGGAGCCTTTTCGTTTGCGTTCAGTCGTGTTTCCTCAATTGATCGTGACTCGCCGGATCCTCGTCTGGTCGGCCCGCGTCGTCCGCGGCCAGCGCCGCCACACGCCCGACCGCGCCGCGGCGCACCGACCCCAACCCATTCCACACGAACGAAGCCACAACTACACTTCCGAAAACAAATATGAATTCATGTCTATCTTTCTATCAATTCCACCGTGCTCTCCAGCCCCCCGCCCTCGCTCCGTGCCCCCTCACTCACCACGCCTCCCCCTACCCCCCAACACCCCCCCTCGCAGGCGCCAGCAGCCACCTCGTGCAGCAGCAGGCGCGCAGCGACACGCGGCGGTACGTGACGCGCGACCAGAGCATGTTCGTGATGTGCGACACGAGCACGCCGCTGGTGGGACCGGAGGAGGTCGCGCTCGTGCGGATCCGCTCGCACGCCACCTCGCTCTTCGACCTCAAACCCGGCTTCACCCGCCCGGGGGACTGGGAACGGTACACCCCCCCCCGCCTCTCGATTGGATCCGCAGATGCACGGCGCGCATGTTAGATGTGTGTGCCTTGATTGCTTCGCGGCCGCATGATTGTTTTTCAAAGCAACAGTGACGATAAAAAGCACTTTTGTGTTCATATGATGGTGTTGCGCGTCGTATTATCATCTCTCGGCCTGCGCCCACGCAGGACCCTCCCACACGCCCGCGCGCGTCCCTGCGTTGCAGAACCGAGTCGCCGTCGGGGGTCGTCGTCGAGTTCCGGGTGGAAGACGCCTCGACCACCGCCGGCGCAGACCCCCCCCCCTCGAAGAGCGGTCCGGGGCTCAAGGGCGCGGCGCTGCGGCGCAACGCCGCGGTCGCGGCCGCCGCTCGGCGCCGCGGGGCGCTCGGCGGCGCGTTCCAGATGGTGGACGTGCCGGAGCGCGGCACCGTGGTCGCGCATGTGCTGTGCGAGCTTCAGTGCGCGAGGGGGTTCCCGGAGAGTTCCGTGTACGTGAACTGGTGGGTGCTGGTGCCGCGGAAGGCCGACGGCGGGTGGGCGCACGTCGAGGGCGCGGGGGGGGAGTTGGAGGGGGAGGTGTCGAAGGTGTATGTCAGCAGTGGGTCGACGCAGGTGGCCAAGGCGACGCGGGTGGCCGTGGACGCGCTGCGGGGGTCGGACTCGAAGCTGGAGTCGCGGCTCGCGTGCCCGATCGAGGTGCGAGGCGCCCGCACAAACAAACAACGTTATAGTTTCTTATCTTGCGTTCCATGATGCCGAATGAAAGGTCAGGTCGTGCTTAGTGTTGGGATTCCGTCCCGTAGTGCTCTCGACGGCGGCGCGCCCCGGGACGCGCGTCCCACCCACCACCACTACGACTGGTGTGCAACCTCAATCTTTCATTCACGAGTGTGCTTGAATCCTTCACGCACGAACAGCGCCCCGCTTGACGATCGCCGCCCCATCGCTCCGCTCCCACCCCGCCGCTCTCCCGCCCCGGCCGACCCTTGCAGTTGGAGCTCCACGCGGACCATGAAGTACCGCCTTCCAAATGGCCCACCCTTGTATTCGAGGTCAACTCGCTGGACTCCTTCGGGCGGCAGCGGACGCTCGGGTACGCGCACCTCACCGTGCCCCCCGAGCCCGGCTGCGCGACGCGCACCCTCGAGACCTGGCGGCCCGTGGGAACACTCACCGAGAGACTCCAGGAGCTATTTGTCGGTGGCATGCAAGCCTTCGACACTCCGCTCTCCGTGAAAGCCGGCGCCGACGCCCCCGCGGGCCCCCGCGCGCCCAAGGTCCTCTCGCGCCTCGGGCTCGTCACGGAGGGCGCTGGCGACGTCGTCGTTCGCGTCCACGTCATCACGCGCACCGCGCCGTCGCGTAGGGGCGTTGCGGCGGCAAAAGAGGTCGTGCGCGACGCGCGCCCCGCCGCCCGCGCGGCGCGGAAGACCCGCCAGGCCGCGCGCGCCCAGGAGGAGGCCGCGCTCCTGCAGGGCTCGAAGACGCTGCAAGAGGTCGTTGAACGCGCGCGGCGGCGTCTGCAGGCCGCGCGCGCCGCGTCGCAGGGCGGCGAGGCTGCGGCGCGCGGGCCGGAGCCCGGCGGCGACCTCGGCGACAAGCGGGGGCGTCCGCCGCGCGTGGTCGGGCACCCGCGCGGCGGCGTCGTCGAGGTGGGCATGGCGGCGAGCTTCGAGGTGCAGGCGACGGGGCGGGCGCCGATGGAGTTCCAGTGGTACAAGGACGGGCGGAAGGTCGGTGGGAACGCGAGCGCGGCGACGGCGCGGCTCGAGATTGAGAGCGTCACGCGCGAGAGCGAGGGACAGTATCTGTGCAGGGTTGCGAACGCCGATGGGAGCTCGATGTCGCTCCCGGCGACGCTGGCGGTGCGGCCGCGCGGGACGCTCGCGCACCTGTCGCCGGAGAAGGTGGCGGCGGCGGCGGGGGAGCGCGGGGAGGGGGGCGTGCGGCGGGGGCGGCGGGAGGGTCCGGTGGCGCGGCTGGACTTCGACGGCGCTGCGGGGGAGGCGGAGCGCGGGGCGGAGGCGTGAAGTCGGTGTGAGATACACGGAGTGTGTGGTTCACCGCACGACGTCGTATCTACCATGCGATCACAGGCTCCAGATAGAGTTCTCAGGAGTTGACGCACTCGGTCCGCGTTCCGCGGAGCAGGAGCGCGAGGGGAGGGGTTTCATGGAGGAGGCGGGGGGCTAGGTTGCCCCTGTTACCCGCGCAGCCTGAGTCAGGACACCAGGGCTCGAGGGCGGTGTGGCCCCGCCCCACATCCGGCGTCGCGCGTTCACGTGCTAGCCGGTTCGACCTCGCCTCATCAGGCGCGCACGACGCCCGGGTTGGACTGCACCGGGCATCATTTGGCGACGTAGTCAGTCAGGCCGCCGAAGATCGCCGTCAGGATGCGGGGGGCGTCCTGCGGGTGCACGCGGACGCGGAAGACGTTGCCCTTGCCGCCCGAGGTCGGAAACCCGGCCAGCAGGCTGAAAAGCCCGTTCTTGAGCCTGGCCCAGTCCAGGACCGCGTTGAGGAAAGACGCGCTCTCGTGCGGGTCGGCGATGGTGTGCTTGGTTTGCATCTCGATGTAGCACTTCCCCTCGTTGATCGTGGTCTTGCAGCAGCCGCACAGGAAGAAGCCGCTCTCGAAGTTGCGCTCCGTCACGCGGCGAACCTCCTCGATGTCCTCCCAGCGGAAGGACCGCGTAGTGCTGCAGCCGTTCGTGCTGCCGACCCGCATATACCCGCACCCGGTGTTGAACGCGCGGTCCTCCTGGACGTCCTGCCCCACGACGAGGCGCTTGTTCGTGACCAGGATGTTGACCGTCTCGTTGGAGGACTTGTCCAGCACGGGGCAGCACGGGACGCGGCAGCAGCAGCAGCCGCCGTCGAGCTCCGGGTGGAAGAACGCGCCGTGGAACTCGTCCACGACGGTCTCGCCCTTGAACGGCGGCGGGTTCGGGAACTCCTCGCTCGTGGGCGCGTCCTGCGCTCTCGTGACGATGCGCGCGCCGACTCGTCGGAGCGTGCATGTGCGCCATGGCGGCACGCAAACGATGCGCACGAACGAGGACAAAAGGCAAAGGTCGATCGATGGCGGTGGCGCGCGGGGGCGACGGAGGGCCTCACCATGAACCAGGACTCCGGCTTTCCGAGGTCGCCACCGCCGCGCGAGAAACAGCAGCACGTGGTGCGGCCGATGGATTCGTTCAGCCTCTCGCCCGCCTTGAGGCGCTGCTTGTAGTCTCCGCGGAGGGCCTCGATCTCCTCATGGAACGGGCGCATGAGGAACGCCTGGTCGCGCATCTGCGGGCGGGGCGGCTCGTGGCGCAGCACGATCGGCGCCTGCGCGCTGGACCGAGCGCATGTCGGCTGGCACTCTGTGCTGACAGCATGAGGGTCGGGGCAGCTGCATCGTGCCGCGCCACGGAACTCGCGTCGACGACGCGCGCGCCGCTCCAGCGCATGGATTGCATCTTTTTTGCGTCGCGGGCGGCGGCAGCGAGGGGCCCTGGCGGGCCGTCGGATGCGGATCGGGGCGCCACGGTCGTGGATGTGGGGTCGCATGGACGGGCCCGCGCAGGCGCCCCCGGCGGAGGAGGGGAGGGGGAGCGAGACTACTCAAAAGGCTACTCGATGCCGTCCGCCTGGCGGGGTCCGCGCGCGCCGCTCGGCCGCGATGCGCAACGTCAACGTCGGCAGTTGCCCCAGCCCCTCCGCGCAAGCAGTGGGGCATGAACCGTGCTGCCTCGCGCGCGTCTTGGGTCCAGAAGATCAGTTCTGCGCGAACCGGCCGCGGGTATTCGCAGATCTTACCTGACGCCCGGGCTTAGCCATCTCGTCGGTGCACTGCCGCTACGGTACCGGTGTCGGCCGTGTAAGTCGATTGTGTGCGTACGAGGACGCACAGAAAGTATCGAGTACTCGAGTCTGTGCCGCAGTCGCACCCCGCACCGTGCCAATGGCCCGCGAGACGCCACCCGACACACAGCCAACGGACGGACGGCGACGCGAGGGCACCGGAGGATGGCCGGTGCCGAGAGGACAGCCCCAGCAGCCGGCGCCCCGTGCACTGGTCGTCGTGCAATAATTGGTACCTGCTTCACTGAGACTGAGACTTACAAACCGGAGACGTGCCCCGTGCGGCCTGCGGAGGCAGGAGCGGCCGAGGCCCCCCCGCCATCCCGAACGGCCCGTGAAGAGTGCCAACGGTCGCCGCGCTACCGTTGGACACGAAAGCCTGGGGCGAGGCACCCTCATCCTCGCCGCAGGTACCGGCGCTGGTCGCCGGGGTGGAGGGGTGGTCGCGAGCTGGCGCTGGACTTTGTCGCCCCTGGAGCGGATCAGGGGGCGCCAGCCGGGGACCACCGCCGCATGACAGGCAAGACAGGGGCTTGTGGGTGCTGTCCGTTGCACCGCGAATGCTCCGGGCCTCGATCTTGAGCGCGCGGAGACCGAGGACGACGCGGGCGTGGGAGCTGTGCTCCGCCGGCGGCGCCCCGCGACCCCGGGGGTATCGGAGCGGGGGGGCGACGCCGAGCGGTGCGCGCGGACGCAGCGTGGTCCGTGCGCGCCCAGCGGGCGCGACTCGCGCGGCCATGCCTCGACGCGTGGCGGGGTCGACGTCGAGGTGAGGGCGGGACTGCTCGAGAGGGGCTGGGCGGGCCCCCCCCGGCGTGTAAGTCCCCGGGGATGTCGTGGTGCCGGCGACGCAATGGGGCCCCCAGCGACGCACGAGGTGGCTTTCCCCCCCCCAGGCTGCAGAGCGACCCCCCTGCCCCGACTCGGCCGACAGACCGGGGGGAGGGGCGTCGCGGCCGCGGGTTGACCGGCCTGCGGCCGCGACACGGGGGGCGCTCGTCCCACCGCGGCGACTTCCGGACGCACTGTATCTCTCACACCGCGCGTGCGTGCAGCACGGGCGTACTGACGCAGGGAGTGGGGCAGTTCGCCACTGCTCAGCGCCCGCGCCTGCGCCGGCTTGTTGGCCCCACGGGGCGACTAGCTGCGCCACTGCGGCCGCACTCGCTGCGCCGCACGTGCTCTCGACCGCTTCCCCGTTGCAGCGCGGCCGCGGTCGCTCCGTCGGCGCGCGCAACCGGGCTCCGAGGTTGAGTTTGGCCCCCCCCAACACCACCCGCCCGCGCCGCTGTTTTCGGCCCCGCTGGCCTCCGCGCGCCACGATTTTTTCGCCCGCCCACCCACCCGGAGGGCCGCAGGCCCATGAAGCCCCTTTGGCGCCCCGTCCCTTGGCAAGGCACGCGACAGGCTGCCGCTTAACACCCCCTTGCCAGCACGCCGTGCCTTGCAGCCCTCCGGTCCCTCCCCGCTCCCTCTCCCTCGCCGCAGGCCTGCCCCCTGCGTGCAAGCGACCCGTGGACCACCGTGTGCGGCCCGGCGTGCTCGCGAACGCCCTCAAGCAGGAGATGGCCGCAGGCGCGCTCGCGAGCGCCACAAAGTCACGGAGATCACGGAGCTGCGAGCGCCGGCGCGCTCCCACGCGGAGCCCGGCATCCTGTCGCGCCGCGGCTCACGCCGAGCCCTGGGCTGCCGACTCAAGTCTTCCTCCGTGCGCCCTCGCGGGCCCGGAGTCGCAACCGCGAGATGAAGCTGCACGTGCGGCGCCTCATGGCGCGCTCGGCTCTGTGCGGCATAGCTGCCGGCCGAAGTGCATGTCCGTGCTGTCGACCAGGTCCGAGCGGTATTTCCAGCGACCCGTGCCCCCCCGCTTCGACTGGTGACAGAGAATGAATGTCATGCCCTCACACTGCCCTGTCATGCGTGCTAATGCGGTGCGGTGTGCCCGTGGCTGAAACCCTGCTCAGAGCCCAGCGATGCGCGCGCATCTGGTCGCTTCGGCGCCGAGGCCGCACGCGCTGCGGAGCTCTAGCACCAGGCTGTCAAGTGCCTGCAAACGTAAACGCTGCTCGCGTGTCGGCCATCGGTACGCCCGCCCCCACGTTTCCCCGCAGCGGCCCTCGCTGCGCCCGCCGCGCCCCCGCGCGGGCTGTCTGCCACTTCCCTTTGTGCCATCGGCAGGAAAATGGGCACCTGGTCCCGTGGCGTTTCTATAAACTAGTGCCGTTATAGGGTGGGGTAGAACCTGCCTTGGCGGTGCGACCCGTTCTTCGGGATGTAACAAGTCAAGTCAAGTCAAGACGCGCCATCCGTAGTAGAGGTCCCGTGCGCGCGTAGCTCCAGCGCCGCGCGGAAGTAGCGTCTGCCTGCACAAAGGGGCACGGACAGTGGCCACGACGCAAGCAGCGCAGGGGGTGCCTCCCTGAGATGCCCCCCCGGGGCGGCGACGGCCGAAAGGGGCTTCATGGCCTGCGGCCCCCGGGGAGGGCGGGCGGGGAAAAAAATCCCACGAGCAGCCGGAAACCGCGCGGGCGGGGCCACGGAGGCGGCGCGCGCGACGCAGTTGGGGGGGGACACGCACTCGAACCGCCCGACCCGTGGACGCGTCCCGGGCGGCCCGGCGCGGCCTCCTGCAGCTAGAGAGCGGAGCGTGGCGCCGCGCGCGGGGGCATGGCCGGCGAGTGCAGCCAGCCAGCGCGCGGGGGGGCCATGCAGGCGCGGGGTGCCGGCAGTGGCTACAGCGCGCCCGTAGTGGCCGCGCCGTGTGATAGCGTGGCGCGAAACGCACGCGAGAGTCTCAAGCTCAACGTCGCCAAGAGCAGCCTCCTCGTCTTCGACTTCGCGGACGACCCGCTGGACGACGCGACGGTCACCGCGTACGCGTACACCGACACGCCGCAGCCGGTCCAGCGCGCCACGTCGGCCAAGATCTTGGGCGTGCACTTCGACACCAAACATGGAGGCCGAATGCAGGCGCCGGAGCGATCGCCCGGGCCGCCGTCCGTGACGCCACCGAGCACGCCGCGAACGGCGAGCTCAATCATCCCGGCGTCGTCGCGGTGCACCTCGCCAACTCCGACATCGTCAACGCTGCGGCGTGGGGGGGCGAAATCTGGGCGCCGTACTTCCCGGACGTCGACTGGCCGAACTACGAGGCGGAGATGCACCAATGCCAGAAGGACATCGACGGCAACGTCCCCCGCTCCGGCCCAGACGACCACCTCGCCCGCCATCTGCGTGGCACCCTGCGTGTCCACAAAAGCACCCCCGCCCCCCTCGTCCTGGCGGAGTGCGGCCTGAGCTCCGTCCTCTCGGTGGCGTGGGGTCGCGCGGCCCGCCTGTGGAACCAGTTCGTTGGCCTGCAGGCCGACCCGCGCGCCCCCAAGCTGCTCCTCGCCGCGTGGAAAGATACCTTGGCCTTGGCCGAGGTCACGCCGCACTGCTGGGCGGCGCGCGTCCGGACCATGGCGACGACCCTCGGCGTCCACCCGCCGGCGCCGGCACCGCCGACCCGCATCGACGCCCGCCGCATGTGCCTGGCCATCGACAAGCTGCAACTTGACCTCCCCGACACGCACCCGCGCACCGCGCAGCCGATCGGCGGCCAGTTTGCCGCGGCCTACAATGTGCACTACCTGCGAGATCTTCACTCGACCACCCGCGTCCTCCAGTGCGTGTCGCAGGTCCGCCTTGGCACCTCGCACCTCCTCACCGAGTGCACTTCCGCGGACATCGTCCAGGCCCGCGCGCCGCTGGCCGATCTGCCGCCCGCCCAGCCGTGGGGTCGCACGTGGGCGAACAGCACGGAGTCGTCGGCGGCGCAGTACTTCAACCAGCAGGCCCAGGAGCTCATCAACGGCCTGCTGGCTGGCTACCCACGTC